ATGTGGAAAATTATTTTTACAGAGAATATGGTAGGCTAAAATTGAACATTCTTACTGTTAAATCCATTATAAACAACTAACTTAACATACCCAGTAGAAGAAAGAATAAATGATTGAATAATTCACAGAATGAATTCTAAATGCCTAGTAAATTCATAAAAGAATTTTTCAATCTCATTGAGAATGAATAGAATGCAAATTAAAACATGTAACTTTAAACTGATCATATTTTAAATAGGCAATTTTAAATAAACATAGTACTCTATATGCTAGAAAGACTAGGGTAAAAAGGACAATTATATGATCTTGGGAGTTATTTAAATTGATAGAGCTTTTCTAGAAAGCATTTAGACATTATATGCCAAGTCCTATAAAAAGGTTTCTATCCTTTATCAAGTCTACTTTTAGGAATCTATTCCAAGAAAACAATGTGAAATATGGATAAAACTTTAGGTTTAGATATTTTTAAATTTCGGAAGAAGTCAGAGAGAACTGTGAAAGATAAATTTAGAGTGTGTGGCAACATATAAAAAGGTGACCTAGCCTTGTGGAGTCATCCTTGAAGGGGGTTAGTAATATTTAGTTAATATGTGAAATCTGAGTAGGAGTAGCTGAGGTAGAGCATTCCAGGCAAAATTAGAACATGGATGAGGGCCATAAGTGGTGGAAAGGAGCATGGCCAATTCAAGAAAGTAGAAGTCTTGTACTGGGGTTGTTGCTCAGTGGTAAGCTCTTGCCTAGCATATATGAAGCACTGGATTTGATTCTCAGCACTGCATATAAATAAATGAATAAAATTATGGTCCAGCAACATCTTAAAATATATTTAAAAAAGAAAAGAAACTAGAAGTCTTATGTGACTGGAACAAGGCAAGGGAGAGATTCATGAGATTGAGGCTGAAGGAGATAAGTGCAGAATGCTGGGAGGCTATGCAACTGCCCTGCGAAGAAGCCATGTGGAAGTTTATCTTACTGTAGTTTGCCATGCAGCCTTCTAGTGATTACAGGCACAGGCTGAGTAAGCAGAGAGATCTGTTAGTTCTAGTCCTGACCTATACCAGAGGTAGCATAATACAGTTGTAGCATAAAATTTCAGTGAAAAATAATGTAAAACTACTAGAATAGTGACTATTACATACTAAGGGCTCAATAATAAATATGTGTTGTTTTATTGCTTGTATTGCTATTATACTTATATTAGCCTGTTATATTTCTATGTCCTTATTTTTTTAAATGGTGGTAAAGTAGGACTATTGTGAAAATTCATTGTAAGCTATAATATTAGAAAGACTATATATGATAATGCTAGCAACTTACCATAAAAACATTGAATATGATTCACAGGAACTTTACCATCCTCATATTAGAAATGTTTCTGCAACACTGTTACCTAGATTTTTATCTTTAACCTTTTGTCCCACCCTAAAAAGATACTATCCTGATGGTGATGGAATAACTTCTACTAGGCACCATAACACTAACTTTCAATGACATTTTGTGCCTTCATGGATTCCAACCTCTTCTGACTTTTGAGTGTAGGTAGAGGGTTCCTTAGTAGGATTTCTGAGTTCACACCCTCTATCTCCTAACCCATACTGATGGTTAAAAGCAACACAGCCACTCAGTAATCAAAAGGTATCTTTATTTCTTGGGACATCAGATGGTTTATCTTCCTTGCCCCTGCAGAATTCAGTCAAATGATTATGTGCATAGCTCTGTCCATAAATCTCCCTTTTAGAGAAATTCTTAGTCCCACTCCACTTGTGGGCCCAGTTCTAGCCTGAGGTCAGGTCAGTGAACCATATTCTTACTTGTCCAGAGAGAGTTTGGGCACATATTGGTAACCTGACACTGTTTTACTCTTCATTTTAGCATCCTGACTTCATTCTCTCCTTCCCATTCTATTTGTAATTTACCTTTTTTAAAATTATTTTATTTTTTATTGATTTTTTAAAAAAATAAATGACAGTGGAATGTATTACAATTCTTATTGCAGTTATACAGCACAATTTTTCATATCTTTGGTTGTATATAAAGTATGTTGACACCAATTCGTGTCTTCATACGTGTACTTTGTATAATGATGTCTGTAACATTCCACCATCCTTGCTAATCCCCTGCCCCCTCCTTTTCCCTCCCACCCCTCTGCCCTATCTAGAATTCATCTATTCCTCCCATGCTCCCCCTCCCTACCCCACTATGAGTCAGCTTCCTTATAGCAGAGAAAATATTCGGCATTTGTTTTTTGGGGATTGACTAACTTCACTTAGCATTATCTTCTCCAACACCATCCATTTACCTGCAAATACCATGATTTTATTCTCTTTTATTGCTGAGTAAAATTCCATTGTGTATATATGCCACATTTTTTTTTATCCATTCATCCACTGAAGGGCATCTAGGTTGGCTCCACAGTTTAGCTATTATGGATTGTGTTGCTAGAAACATTGATGTGGTTGTGTCCCTATAGTATACTGTTTTTAAGTCTTTGGGGTATAGACCGAGGAGAGGGAGAGCTGGGTCAAATGGTGGTTTCATTCCCAGATTTCTAAGGAATCTCCATACTGCTCCATATTAGCTGCACCAATTTGCAGTCTTATCAAAAATGTATGAGTGTATCTTTTTCCCCACATCCTCACCAACACTTATTGTTGTTTGTCTTCATAATAGCTACCATTCTGACTGGAGTGAGATGATCTCTTAGAAGTTTTGATTTGCATTTCTCTAATTGCTAGAGATGATGAACATTTTTTTCATATATTTGTTGATTGATTGTATATCCTCTTCTTAGAAGTGTCTATTCAAGTCCTTGGCCCATTTGTTGATTGGGTTATTTGGTTTTTTTTTTTTTTGTTGCTTAGCTTTTTGAGTTCTTTATATACCCTAGAGATTAGTGCTCTATCTGATGTGTGAGGGGTAAAAATTTGTTCCCAGGATGTAGGCTCTCTCTTCACCTCACAAATTGTTTCTTTTGCTGAGAATAAACTTTTTAGTTTGATTCCATCCCATTTATTGATTCTTGGTTTTAATTCTTGCGCTATAGGAATCCTATGAAGGAAGTTGGGGCTTAATCCCACATGATGAAGATCAGGTCCTATTTTTTCTTTGATTAGATGCAGAGTCTCTGGTTTAATTCCTAAGTCCTTGATCCACTTTGAGTTGAGTTTTGTGCATGGTGAGAGATAGGGGTTTAATTTCATTTTGTTGCATATGGATTTTCAGTTTTGCCAGCACCATTTGTTGAAGATGCTATCTTTTCTCCAATGCATGATTTTGGCAACTGTGTCTAATATAAGATAATTGTAATTTTGTGTGTTAGTCTCTGTGTCCTCTATTCTGTACCATTGGTCTAGCAGTCTGTTTTGGTGCACTAATACTTCCTGGGGCTGGAACTGTAGCTCAGTGGCAGAGAACTTGCCTAGCACATGTGAGGCACTGGGTTCAATCCCCAGCACCACATAAATAAATATGTGTGTCCATCTATAACTACAAAAATTTTTTTTTAAAAAAGCTAATACTTCCTGGTTCTTCCTTTGAATTTCTCCTAATTAATGATTCTGATTCTACTACCTATCATCACATCCTTTCAAGTTTCACCCCACCCTAGTACCCTCCTACCTCAGGCAACATCCTAGAAATAAGGACATTATAAGGATTTCTTGGAAAGAAGTTGGTAGAAAACAATGATTCAATTTACATGTTTATTTAAAGCCTTCTGTGTTCTACATGCTGAGTATTGGGAATACAACAAGGTACAATCCCTGAGTTTGTCTCAGTGGAGACAGGAAAAGTTTGTCTCTACTTTTCCTGCAGAAGGCCAGATAGAAAACATTTTAGGTTTTTTGGATCACAGATTGCCTTCTGCTGCATATTCTTTTTTATTTTTTATAACACTTTATAAATGTAAACAATTCTTAGACTATAGATTGAATGCTAAAGCTCATATAGACCCTTGGCATATGACTTGCTGGGTTCACAAGCAATTGTCAATTCAGACTGATAAATTCTATAACAAAATTAAGCCAAGTGGCTAAAAGAACTCATAGGTCCTACTCATCTACTCTAACCTTGGGGTCTGAAATAAGGTTCCCAAAGAAGGTGAAAACTGGATTGGGCCTAGATAGATTAATATGCAAAGCTGGGTGAAGTTCAGTCAACTCAAAATGAACTGTATATGAGTAAAGGTCTAAAAATAAAATAGGTTCTGGCACATTCTGAAGCTACAAGTAATTCAGTATGGCCAAAACATAAAATGTCAGAATTTAAGCAGGGAGAGGTAAGACTGAAGAATTAAGCAAGGGCCAGATAACAAAAAAAAAGAAAATATAAACAATGACTTAAAGATCAGAATAAAATATGTTAAGAAGAAATATTGATCTGGAAATACATGATCAAGCCTTCCGCCTCCATAGGTTGTGAGGAAACTAGGCCCTCCAAGAAAGCTAGCTTAAAATTGATCATAATAGGTAGAAGGGGCATTTATAGAAAAAGCAAAGCAAGCAAACAGAAAACAATGAGAAATCAAGAATTCCATGGTGATTGTAACAGAATGGGTTCCCCTAACCTTTGTAAATATGTCAGATCTGGGGAGCAAGGAAGATGGAGAGCAGTGTTTCTTGGTGGTAAGTGTAGGACATAGAGGTGAAGGAAGCAGAGCACTCCAGGAACCCTGGGGGCAATTGTTAGCAAAAGGAGCTGTGCAGAGGTGGCAACATGTGTGATGGCTCCAAGGTTCAAATTGATTTATATGGTTTGGTAAATATAGAAAAAATATAGTTGTACAAAGTCTGATGTTAGTTATTGTTGATCTTTTCTTCAGGAATTTAACATGTTTTTGACTAAAGAATATTTTAGCCCTCTGAATTACTTTAACATATTTAAGTATGTAGTTAAAATGTTTTACATTAACTTATAGATGACCTCAACTTGTTCACATGCCTCCTTTAGAAATGGATATTCACACTTAATTAACTGAATATTATTATTACTCTTTGTTTTAGGACCTCACTAACTTAACCAGGCTGCCTCACTTAAGGGATTTGTGTCTGAATGATCCTCAATATAAAACCAATCCAGTTTGTCTGCTGTGTAATTATTCCACACATGTATTGTATCACTTGCCTTGCCTTCAAAGACTTGACACATTTGATGTGTCAGCCAAACAGATCAAGGAACTGGCAGATGTAAGTGTATTCCTAATTAACTATCTGTGACTTAAGTTTGATAATTAACTTCTTTCTGTCTTTGTCTCATTATTTTTTGTCTCTAATTCTTCTTTTACCCAGTAAACAAGATATTTCACATGAAAGCATACAAATAATAACATTAATACTAGAATTTGATGATAATACTGGAAGGTGAAATACTTTAAAAAAATTGTTTATAATCTGTACAAAATTTAAAGAAGGAAATATGAAGCATCCATTAATGCTAAACTAACTGAACTATTGCTGAAAATAAAAACTTAAAATATAAATAACAGTAAAAATATAATAAGTAACTACCTCTCATCTGGAATATTACATATAGAAATAATAAAGTATCCATTGATGATGGTAGTATGCCAAAAATTAGGTAGATTTTAATCTAATTAAAAATGGTTTGAGAGTCACTCAGAGTAGAAGTGGCCCTCCACACTGTCATTACACTCTTGAAATCATGAAGAGAGTAGTTCCTGGGCTGTTGCTGACAATGAACCTTCCTATAAGGGAAATTTTCACAAGTCACCAAGGGATCTATAATTTTACACTGGAGTTCATGGGAATTCTCCATGCTCATTACTTGTATTTCTATATCATTTTTCTACCTCTCTTTTAGGCCAATGCCACTGCCCTTGCAAACATCTTTGTTTTAGGACCTCACTAACTTAACCAGGCTGCCTCACTTGACGGATTTGTGTCTGAATGATCCTCAATATAAAACCAATCCATTTGTTCATTCAGTTAATCATAAATTGACTTTGAGTATCTATAATGTGCCAAGAATGTGGATGCCCCATATAAGGGACCTTCCACTTTGTGGCCCATGCATCTTCTCAACATAGATAAAGAATGTCTTTATCTATTTATCTTGTTTCTCTTTTTGTGCTATGAATTAATTCTCAAGTTCCCCCTTTTTCTTCACTTTTATTCTAACATTGAGATTATTCTCATTTTTAATCTGAGAAGTGAACTATCTTGTAATATGGAGCAAAAAGCTAATGCCATTGTCTACTGGCAGATGTTCAGAGTCACTGGAGGCCCAGGGAGGAATGTTTTCTCTAGTAATGCTTAAAAAAAACACTGCAAAACTTCACAGTATCAACCATATTTTTTTAAATTTCTACTATCTCTAATTTTATATCAGAGATTTCACAAAAGTAAACAGAATGAACATGCTCTACAAAAATTAGTTGGTTGGCTCATTAATCTAACAAATATTTAATGCCTGTTATATTCTGGCCACAGTTTAAGTCACTAGAGATGCAGCGTAAGCAAATCAATCCCTGCTTTCTTGGAGCATATAGTCCAGTGAAGAAGGCAGATAATAAGCAACTGAATTAAATGACTAGCATGTTAAATGCTGATAAATGGTATGGAAAAAAGATAAAACAAGGGTAAATGAAAAGAGGTTGTTAATATGGACAGAGAAAGGGGTATTGGCTCTTTTATTATAGAATTGTCAGAAAAAGATTTTCTTATAATGCAACATTTGAGCAGAAACCCGAAACAAGTGAGGGAGCAAGTCATGTGAATATCTGGGGAAGAGCTTTAACAGGGATCACTAAGTACAAAGTCCCTGGTACAGGAACATGCCTATTTAAAGGACAACAAAGAAAGCATATGGCTGGAGCTGAGTATTTGAAGGAAAGAAAACTAAGGGATGAAGACAGGAGTGGAAGGTACCAGATTATGTAAGACTCTGTAGAATGCTGTAAGTACTTTGGCTTTTACTTTGGAGATAGGGCCACTGGAAAAATTTGAGCAAAGAAGGACCAAGATATGTCTTAAAGGAATTCTTTGGATAATTGATTAAGAATCAAGGATTAGAAAATTATTCCAGTAACTCAGATGAGAGATGCAGATGTTTCAATACAGGGTGTTAGTGGAAGACAACATAAGAAGTAATCAGATTCTGTTAGTAGTTACATCTGGGTTTGCTGATGAATTTATTAGGTATGAAGTACAGAGGAAATAAGTAGAGAATAATTCTAATTTATAAGCCTGAGCAATTAAAATTTATTTGAAAAACAGAGGAAGAGTATGGGAGAAGTATATTTAGGAGGAAGAATAACAATTTAATTTTAGATACGTAAAGTTTGAACAGCCTTTGAACATCCAAAGGGATGTGTGGGTCTGCTATTTTAAGAGATTTTCCCAGGTAGAGAGATAAATATGAGAATTGCAAGAAGAAAGATGGTACTTAAACTTGTGGGCTAGATGAATTACAAGGGAATGTTGTGGATGAGTAGTATGTCATTTGGCATTTTGCTGAGGCTAGTTTTGAACTCAGGATCCTCCTGCCACAGCCTCCTGAGCCGCTAGGATTACAGGCATATGCCACCACTCCCAGCTTGACACAGATTTTTTTATTAATTTATTTATTTTAATGAGGTATATATGACAGCAGAATGCATTTTGATTCATTGTATACAATTGCAACACAACTTTTTATTTCTCTGGTTGTACATGATGTAGCGTTACACCATATGTGCAGTCATACATGTACCTAGGGTAATGATGTCCATCTCATTCCACCATCTTTCCCCACTTTACCTACCCACCCTCCCTCCCCTTAGCCTAATCAGATTTCCTCTATTTTCCCCATGCCTTCCCCCTTCCTGTTATTTATCAGCATCCACTTATCAGAGAGAACATACAGCCTTTGGTTTTTTTGAGATTGGCTTACTTACTCAGCATGATATTCTCCAACTCCATCCATTTACCTGCAAATGCCATAATTTTATTTTCTTTTAATGCTGAGTAATATTCCATTGATATAGATTTTTTAAATGCTTTCTTTATTATCATTCATAAGATGTCAAGTTGCAGCAGTTCTCTGTGGTAAGCTCTTCAACAGAGTGCTGTTGGTTCTTCATATTTTTACCCATGACTATGAAATAGTTTGTGCATATGACAAGTGACAAGTAAAGACAGAATCTTCCAGGGAGTCAGCCTGAGATAGAAGAAGAAAATGTGGGTTCAGATCAAAAGACTTGAATTGAATCCCTGCCTTTTCTTAAGGTAGATCCTTCAACTCACTGAACTTCAGTTTTCTGAACTATTAAAATAATGATGAGAAATAAAATATCTATTCTTCACCACTGGATTATTGTAGGGATCCAATGAGTTAATATGCATAAAAGTCCATCTTAATTGTTAGGTTCTATAAAAATGTTGCTATGAGGGCTGGGGCTGTAGCTCAGTGGCAGAGTGCTTGCCTAGCATGCATGAGGCACTGGGTTCAATCTTCAGCACCACATAAAAATAAACAAATAAATAAAGGCATTCTGTCCATCTACAACTACAAAAAAATTTTTTTAAACGATTGCTATGAAACCATACTCAAGTATACGTCTGTATGATTTTTAATTGGTTTTGACCATCAAAGAAGCAAAGGGACCAAAGTAGTCTTAGTACACACACGCAACTGAATTTAGCATTAATTAGATTAATTTTGTAAGGAAAACTTTTAACAGGCGAGCAATTATACCAGAGTTCTTGAAAATGACTTTGGCATCAATTCTTAAAAGTTCAAGACAAAAAGAAAATTACATGCAGTCATCCTACAAAGTTGATTTGCTGTCAGATATTCATAATTCATAAGGATATACTCATAGTTTAAAGAATCTTACTTTTCCAGAATCTTAATAAATATTCTTAAACAACAATCCCTTACAATAAATGTTTTATTGTTGTAACACACAAAAGTGATTTTGAAAAAGTTTAGGAATAGTACAATATCACAATTTATAAAGACATGGGTACATTCTTAATAATGGAAAAAATAGAAGACATGTGAAAAATACATTAGAAACTAAAATAAGTGATTACCTATGAAAGATGAGGCAACTTGGAAATGGGACATAGGTGTGGGAAGTATAGTTTTCTTCATATCTTTTGATATTTTTGTTTTTGATACATGTGAATATATTGCTTAATCAAAAAAACTGTTTTAAACAAACTAAGTGTAATATTTTGAATCCTTTTTTCTCTAACTTGGGGGTATTCAAGTTAAATTTGAATTTCATAGAAATGATAATGAATGTTTTAGTATCATAAGTATGTCTAGTAAGTATGATATTAAAACATTGTTGCTTATCTGAAATTTAACTTTGTCTCTTGTGGGTTTTTTTCCAGGAAAATAAACTACTTCCACCCCATCTTTTTATTTGTTTGTTTTGTTGTTTTAGACTTAAGAATTAATTATAAATTCTTTTTAGCTGTTACTTACTCAAAGAATTTTGCATTGGATTTTCCATTCTCTCCATACATGGAAAGAAAAAACATCATTTGCTACTTCTTAAGTTACAGTTTTTTTCTTCTGATTCAGTTGTACCTCAGAAATTAAGTTCATCTTAAATCAGGGGTTTTTAAATTAGTTTATTATCATACTAAAACATTTTTCATCTGTCCTAAGTTATGAATGCCTTATTTTTAGCAAAGGAATTTAGTGATTTCAGTTGCAGACTTCTTATGCACATGGAAAGGAAATTCTTTTGGCCTTCTCAGCATACCATATATTATTTCTATTCTGTGTTTTATTCCAAATAATTCTGTTGGGACTAGATTATATACTCTGTACTAAAAAAAAATCATACAAAAGAGCCTTCAGTCAGAGAAAATACACGTCTACAACTGTGAGTCTTCCAATTTATTCTTGGTAAAGAGAAAACACTATTATTTCTTGGTAAAGAGAAACACTAAACCAGGTTAAAATCATTTTTACAGAATACCTAGTTGGTTTATGTTCTTCTCAGATGGTTCTTTTCGGCTACTACAACTCGCAAGCACTGTTTCATAATGATGGATTTAATTAAATTATCATGTTTAGCTTATTAATAACTGGATGATCCACTAGTATTAAGGAATTCAAAATGATTGGGTTAGATTGACATTTTAGTCATTTGCTTAGTCTAAAACCAGTTCATGTAAAGCATCCTTTTATAGATATGGAAAAAAAGAAATTAAATTCAATTTCTTAGCATTTTACAGAATGAATTAATATTACATTTACTTTTAATTCCTTTGTATTTCTTTATTTTTCCCTAAGTTATTCAGATAGGAATAATGTTGCTATGTTTTCTTTAATAGTACTGTACCATTACTCAAATGATTCTCTTATAAATTTAATTCTATCTATAATTTTGTGTGTGTGTGTGTTGTCATACTGAAAATAAAGGTGAATATGCCTCCCACATAAATATTATCCACAAAAAGAATCTTTGGAATTTTATATTCTGCATATTAAATTTAAATATAGAACCCTGTGAGCTGTTGTCATTGCTGCATTGTTATTAGTGATTAAGCTAACAAAACTTTCAAATTGTTATATAGAACAATTACCTATAATTTGTTTTTGCTGATCTCTTTCTTGCTTTTAGACCACAGCAATGAAAAAAATAATGTATTACAATATGCGTATAAAAACTGTTCAGAGGCATCTTAATGAAGACCTTGAAAAACTGAATGATAGAAAATGCAAATTGCAGAAATTGCCAGAAGAAAGAATAAAATTATTCAGCTTTGTGAAAAAAAATGTAAGCCTTAATAATGTAAAATTTCTTAAGATAACTGACAGATAATATAGTAAAATTGTATATGTGTATATACATATATGTGTATATGTATATAAAACGTTAATGCTGAATTTCAAGTCAAGTTTGCCCTAAAAATGTTTTGATTCCAGACATTAACTAAGCTGAATTCTGTTTCTAGAAATCTGCAATTCAAAAAAGATATAGACTTACATAGTGATGAAATTTTTAAAAAGCTATGTGATTCAATATGAGTTGGAGATATAGAGAACCCTTAGACTTATTTCAGCCGCATTTCTCTTAGACACCAGCAGGCTGTGCTCAAAATTCATTTTCTTATTTTTTTGTGCTAAGGTATTCCTTTATGAATACTTTTAAGCCATACAACACAGTGGAAACTTTAAATCATGCCATACTTTAATAGTAAATTATGGGTGGCTTTTATCTAGAATAAGTTGGATTTCCTTTTTTAAGCTGGATCCCCCAAATTAAGGATTATTTCCCTCAAAACCCCCTTGTATATATAAAAATTTATTGAACATTTTAAAAGTATAAAGAAATAACAGATTGTTCAACAAATGGCATTAGAAAAATAGTCAAGCTATGTGGAAGTAGGGGAGCTGTGTTCTTAGTATTATTTTACCAAAGGTAAATGAGGCAGGGGTGATTAAATGTAAAAAATGAAAACATGAAAAAATTCAAGAATAAATATATAAAGTCTTTAGCTCACTTCAGCCTACCAAAAAGGAATACTAGAAATCACAGTGAAACAAAACGGAGATTAGTTATAACAAAGTAAAATGATTTTTGTACTTAAAAGCATTTTAATTAAACAGCAAATGATAATCTGAAAAAATATTTTCAACAAACATGATGGACAAAGGGATTTTATCCTTAGTAAAAAAGTACTCATAAGTGAAACAAGATGGAAAGTAAATATCCAAATATAAAAACTGAGCAAAATACATAAAATAGCACTTAAGAGAAGAAATTTTAAAAAGACTTTATAAACACTTGAAAGAAGAGTTCAGTCATTAATTTCCAAGTGCTAATTAAGATATCAAGAAACATTTTTACCTATAAAACTATCAAAGCATAAGTACATGACAGAATGCAGGCTGGTGAAGGTGAACATGATACACAATACACCATCAAAGAGAACGTAACTTAGGTCACATGTATTAACAGCCTAAGAATACTCACAGCCTTTGGCTTAGTAAATCTACTGCTAGCACTCTATTCTGAGGTTATTCATCACTATGCTATTAATAACAACAAAAACTTGGAATCTGCATGACTGTTTAACAAGAGAAAAAAAGTTACTCTTAAGATAGAGTAATATGTAGCCATTAAAGGATTTGAAATAGTTAATATTTTTTCTAAATGAGCAGGTTTTAATTTTTATAATCAGAAAAATATTCTTAAAGTAAACCATTAATAAAAATTTAAATTATTTGAATAAAAAGCACAGAAAAACAATGTATGAAAGTCATATTTTCCATTTCCTTATGTAAATGCACATACAATGTAGAATATCCCCTATCCAAATGCTCAGGATCAAAGTGTTTTAGATTTGGAATATTTGCACAGGCTTTACTGAACATCTCTACTCTGAAAATCTAAAATCTAAAATGTGCCAAAAAGTTTAAGATTTTATAGTGTTTTGAGATTAATTTTCAGATTAACAGTGCTTCACTTGTATTAAGTAAAATCTTCAAATGTAAAAAACAATAGCTATTGATTATGTAGATTATTGACACTTCTATAAATATGCCTAATTTGTTTTCAATAGGTAGATATAGCTGTTTTAGAAAAGAAATATACATAATGAATAAATTTTTTATTTTATGTACAGTACAATTTATCCTGAAATCCTATGAGGTTGGAATTAGAGTGAGTTAAATTAAGCTCTTGCCTTGGGCCCAAAATTTTGAGAGTGCTCAAAGCCTAAGTAATCAATATAAATAATATTTAGTACAATGTTTTTACATATCCAAGTTAATGCAAAAAATTCATTATGAACTAAAGCTACAATATATCAAAATCTGAAAAAAAAAAAAAAGACCATTGCTGTTTTGAGCCATAAGGGGACTGATGCAAAAGGAAAATGGTGTACTGCTGTGTACAAACTTTGGGTTTTTTTTATGGTTAACCTTTCTTCCAGAGCCCATAATTGGAAAAATATTGAAAATTGAAAAGGAGACATGTTAAAAATTATATTATTTGAAATTTAATTTTTTATTTATAACAAAACCAGCATTTATTTTTATTCTTACTTTGTCTTTAGCATAAGAAAATTCAATAATATTTCACAATCTATTTCTTTCAATTGCGAGTTGTCCTATTTCAAGTATCTAAGGTCAACATTTGTTCAAGAGAAATTAGCTGACCAAACTTGCATCAAAGTTGAAATCATGTGTTTGACATTCGTATATGAAGCTTGGCTTATTTATTACCTAGATTTCATTGTTGTTAATTTAAGTTGACTGCTTGCTATATCTCACTAGAAAATTAATCTGAATTCAGACTTTGCCTTTGCCATGTTTTATCTTTATTTTGCTCTCTGGCATTTTTTTTTTCCAACAGTTGGAACAGGAACTGGCTGAACTCAAAGGATCTGGCAAAGGGCACAGTGATAGATTCAATAACAATAAATTAACTGAGGTTGAAAAGCCAAAAAATCATGAAACTGTCACAGAAGACCCAACTCTTCATCAGAAGATACTGACCAAACTAAATGCCTTGACTGAAAGGGTAACATTCTGGAACAAAAAACTAGATGAGTATGTTTAATGAATTGTCTAGTTCAGATTTGAAACATGAGAATAAGAATGTTTGGGCCTATGAATTGAGCTCAGTTCCCTTATTCAGGATGGGAAAGAATTATAGATGAAGTAAAATATGAAATGTGTTCTTAGTTCCCATTCCTTGTATATATAAGCATTATTGGTTCACAGCTGGCATACACTGTTTTGCAGCTTTTAATTAGAAAAAACGAGCTTTCTCTGAATGACTGTGTGATGTTGCTCTTGGGGCTCCAAACTAAAAGCAATAAAGCATTACTTGTGCAAAAATTCACCAAATAGATGAGACCCAGCAAAAGAACATATATAGTCCTTATTTAGTTCATAGTTCTTACTTTTTATAATTTTTATTTGCTAAGGTAGTAAGTATATTAAGTGAGTTTGCCCTATAATAATTTTAATGGCAGCATGTTAGAATCTCTTACTGAGAGTTCTACATATAATCCTCAAAACAGCCTTTTAATATATAGGTACTATCAACATTGCTATCCAACTGAGGCATAAAAAAGGCTAAATGACTTGTCTAAGATCTGAGAGCTGGAGTATTAGAGCCAGGACAGTCTTTTCACCCTGGAATTATTGTTCTGAGGCTCATAAATTTCAAGGTGATTTTAATTGCCAAAAATAGAATATCCTGGACTTTATTTAACAAGTTAAATATGAGAGTTAACAACAGGTTTTCTCTCATATGTGAAGCCGAAGAGAAAATGAATAGAGTAAAATGGGACGTCACTAAAACAAAAGGGATATCAGTAGAATAGAAGTGGGAACCAAGGGGGAGAGAGGGAGGGAAAGAAAGAAGAAGAACTGGAGAATGAAGCTGACCAAATTATGCTAGGTGATGTATGAATATATCACAATGCATCCCAATTTTATACACAAATTTAATGTATCCATTAAAAATAATAAATAAATAGAAGGAAGATCTATACAGTAGAGGAAGGGGATCAGGAGGTGGGAGGAAGGTAGGGAAGGAGTAGTACTAGGGATTGAAATGGAATTAAACTATGTTATTTGCATATAAGAATATGCCAAAATGAACCCCACCATTATGTATAACTATAACACACTAAAAATAAAACAAAACCACAAAAATACTTTTAAAAGGGGAAATGTATATTTTAACATTTTTTAAAAAGCTATTGTGAATTTTAGTGTCGTGATTTTTAGATTATTCCAATAGTTGATATATCTATTTTTCTTTAATAGAATTGAGGCAATTTATCGCATTGAAGTAAAACAAAAAAAGAAAAGTCATGGCTTATTGATCCCATTTTTGCTAATTGAGTTGGAGACTGTGGGAAACATCCATTTTGAAGAAGGCACTCGATCTGATGACTGGTAAATCTGTTTGAAATTTAAGTATAACTTTAAAAAATAACTTTAAGTACATAGGATCACCAACCAGAATATCAATTTATAATTTAAAAATGTCCTATTTTCAAAACATTTCTCATACAGCATATTCAGCTACTAATTGAAACTAGTCAGTTTGGTTTTTTGTTGTTGGTGGTAGTGGTGGTGGTGGGTTGTCTTTTTTTTTTTTTTTTTTTTTTTTGCTGCTATAGCAAAAAACCTGACAAGAACAATTTTAGAAGAGAAAAGGTTTATTTTAGGGCTCACAGTTTCAGAGGTCTCAGTCCATAGATGGCTGACTCCATTCCTCAGGGCCTGAGGTAAGGCAGGACATCCTTATGGAAGAGTAAGGTGGAAGTAACAGGCTCAAGACATGGCTACCAGGAAGTAGAGAGAGAGCTCTGCTCAACAAGGACAAAAATATACCCAATAGGCACTCCCTCATTGACCTACATCCTCTAGTCCTATCTGCTCACAGTTACTACCCAGTTAATCCCTATCAGGGTATTAATGCACTAATTAGGTTAAGATCCTCCTAACACAATCAATCATTCACCTCTAAAGTTTCTTTCATGGCTCACACATGAACTTTTAGGAGATACCTCATATCTAAATCATAACACTTATTTTCTTACCTCTATGTTTATCTGCTTACACTATTGCCACAAGCCAAGGTTGAAGACATTTTAATAGTATATCATTGCTGCATGTAGCAGGTTATCAGAATTTGTTAATCAATCAGAAAATACTCTGTTAAAAACAAACCAAACAGGGCTGGAGATGTGGCTCAAGCGGTAGCGCGCTTGCCTGGCATATGTCGGGCCCAGGTTCGATCCTCAGCACCACATACAAATAAAGATGTTATGTCCGCCAAAAACTAAAAAATAGATATTAAAAAATTCTCTCTCTCTTTAAAAAAAAAAAAAACCTTTGTAGTATCTGCCACCTTCCAAATTGCATTCAGACCTTCTACCTACAGTGAAAGATTCAATGTCTCTAAATTACCGTCAATGCTTTTAACCTTTTCGAGTCAGATAAACTGTGTGCTTAACTGTTCTTAAAGCATGCATGATACCATGTAAATGGTTTTGCTCTGCTTCCTTTACCCAGTATAACTTTGCATTCCTCACCCTTACTATCACTTCTAACATACTGTGATCTCCTCTGGTATTGGTTTGGTTTGAGAAAATCATTTCTCAATTCTAAGAGAGGAATGATGGTCAGCTCCTGGGTACACTAAGTAGATATTTGTTAGTAAAACAGGTAGACTAGGAATTCAGATATTAGGGTCATGGAGAAACCACCCACAGGAAAGCCCACTTCTGTGACTTTAACTCATGCTGACCCTGATTATATAGGTAAGGACCTAGACATGTCATTGAAGGCAAATGTATTCCATTCAGGATCACTTACTTCCTTGTCAAAATAATTTAATTTTTCAATTTTATCTTTATCTAGTTTCAGTCCTACTTTAAAAACAGGATTATAATCTTATAATTAACCAGGTGAGGGAAGCAGAGAGCTAACAAGCACTCCAGTACATACTTGTTCTTGGGATTTTCCCATAACTGGCCCTTCCTTCTCTTCCTCCTCCTCCTCCTCTTGCTCTCAAGCCAACTATCTTATCTGAAAGATCATCCGGAAGACCTGATCTTAAGTAGGGCTCTCTCTACATTCAAGCCTCTCTTTCTTTAGAGCTCTTATCAGTTTATTAATTATTTTACTTTTAGATTTACTAACATTTTGTATCTACTCCCCTTGGAATAGGGGACTAATAGAGGCAGAAAGACTGCCTCTTTTTCTTCTATATCCCTAGTTAGGAAATTATTGCAATAGTCCAACTGAGACATAGTGGTGACTTGGGCTTGGATGGTAGCAGTGTGATAAGGAAAGAGGATTATGTTCAGCATGATATTTTAGAGGGAGACATAAATTGATATGCAGAACTAGATATTGGTAAGGCTTTGACCTAAGCTATACATTGTTGTGCCATATTCTGAGATGGGAGAGCATGTTTAGGATCTGGTGATGGATAAGTTAGATTTAAAAGACATCTTACATGAGTGGAGAGTGGATCTATCAAGTAGGTAGCTGGATATTCAATTCAAGTCTGGGCATATCCAGTTAAGTTAGATAGAGATAAAGGGTTAGAAATAAAATGTTGTAATTTATTATCATGTATATAAAACAAATGAAACAAATGAAGTTATCTAGGAAGAGTGTTTGTCGAAATAAGAAAGCCAAATATTGGTCTCTGAGGAAACCCAACATTTAGAAGTCTGGCAGAGTATTAGGAGCGTAGCTCAATGATAGTATGCTTGCCTAGCATGCTAAAGCTATGGGTTCAATCCTTAGCATGAGAGAGAGAGAGAGAGAGAGAGAAAGAGACTTTAAAAAAAGGATCATCAGTTTCAGGAAGGGAGAATTACTCAACTAACATGCCTTTTAGGTCAAAGAAATATATAATAATAATAAAAGAGGTTTTTTAAACTGTATTTGAAAATGTAGCATCCTTTTATTGACTGAATCAGTATGCCCAGTTTGAACCAAAATAGATCTACTCTATGTCATTTTTTAAAATATTTATTTTTTAGTTGTAGCTGGACAAAATTACCTTTATTTATTTTTATGCGGTGCTGAGGATCGAATCCAGGGCCTCGCAGGTGCCAGGCGAGCACTCTACCACTGAACCACAACCCCAGCCCCTACTCTATGTCTTTAGCAAAAAACATAAAATAAAAGCCATAACTTTTATTATATGTAACTTTGTGTTCTTAAGTATTTTAAGGAAAATCTGTTATTTTCTTCATGTATGTTTTTGTATTCTCATATAGGTTTAATTCCTGCTATGAATTAATTCTATCACGCTTCTGTACATGGGACTTCAGAACTTATGGTGTTACAGGAGTAAAAGTAAAACGTGTTATTAAAGTTAACAACCGTATTCTGAGACTAAGATTTGAAGAGAAATTTCAAAAGTTTTTGGATCACGAAAGCATGCATGATTCAGAGTAAGAAGTTAAATTTCGTAATGAACAATTTTTAAAAGTCTGGCTTTAGTTTGTAAAAATTCTTTATTTTAAAAGTCCAAGAATATTGATGATATACCCTTTTAGTAAACACTTCCTCTTAGTGCATTTTCCATGGGTAGGATGACCTCATAATTTATCCACATTGGGCCTCCTTTTGAGAGTAAGAGTAGTAAGGTGGAGGTATTAATAATGACCCTGGAATATCCATTGTGAACAGAATATAACCCCATGGATAAACCATTGGGTTATCTATGACTAAATGTTTGTGAAATCAATTCTCAACCTTTTTTTAAATTTTTCTGTTTCAATTATTCTTAAGGACTTATCGCAAGATGCTGGAGTGCCTTTTTTATGTTTTTGATCCTGAAGTTATGGTGAAGAAAAAGCATCTGCTACAAATTCTTGAAAAAGGATTCAAAGAGAGTGAGACAAGCAAGGTAGCATGTCACTTAGAACAATGTTTTCTTCTTAATGAGTGCAGCTCTGCCACTGGTTAAGCATGATTCCCAATCCTTTCATCCATATTTATAGCAAACGTCTGCTGTTTCACAAGCTTAATGACATCATAGAAAGTATAGCATCTTTCCTTTTTGGATTAAAGCATAGTAAATCCATTAATTACTTTATCTGCCTGATTCTACTTAATCCCTCTAGGCATCTTATTTTTATGTTGTGATCCTTTTGTTGATGATTTTTGAAATATCCTTTAATTGGCTATAAATCCATTGTGAATCTTTAATCTATTGTAAACTCTCCAGGGTCTTCTCTATATTTAAATAATCATTACCTTAACTCTACTGTGCTTTCTATCTATCATCCTGGTTTATCTTTCCTTTTACTGCCACCATTTCTTTTACTTCACTTTTCCCACATTGCTTTTCTCAGTCCTCCACCCTCTTAATGAAGCAGCAATAGCATATCTTCATAGAACAGTACTTTCCAATCCTTTTCATATCATGCTGCATTTGAATTATGGCCTTACTACTCAACAGCTTTGACTTCACATCTCTGTGCCTATTTCTTCCTAGCTGTAAAATGTGAATAATATTGCTATCTATTTTGCAGAGTTGTTGGTAGGATTTAGTGAAATAATGCATTCAAAAGTTCTTGGATGCTTGTACACCAGTGTTCATAGCATCACTATTCAAATAGCCAAGAGTAAAAACAACCCAAATGTGTGTCCACGGATGAATGGATAAACAAAGGTGGCATATACAAGTAATGGAAAGTTATTCAGCTAAAGATACTCAAAATACTGATGCATGCTATAATATGGAAGAAACTTGAAAACATTTTGGTAAATGAAATATGCTGGACGCCAGAATGAAAATATTGCATAATTCCATGTATATGAACTACTTAGGATAGGCCAATCTAGAGACAGAGGTAGAATAGATGTTACCAAGGACTGGGGGAGATGAGAGAATGGGGGTTTAGTGTTTGAAGGATATAGAGTTTCCGTTTGGAATAATGAAAAAATCTGGAGCTGAATAGTGGTGTGATGGTTGCACAGTAATATGTATATACCTATGCCACAGGATTATGTGCTTAAGTAAAATGGTGAATTTTATCTTGTGTATAGTTTGTCACAATAAAAAATGCATTCTGACTGCTCAGTGGAGAATGGAGGGAGTAGGGGCAGACATGGCAGGGCACTATGTGGGAGTACTATTGTGGCAGCTAAGGCCAGAGATGTGATACTCCTGGCAGGATGATGGTGGTAAAAATGCTCTTGTACTCTCTGGAAAGTAAATAAGAGGTGAGGAATTCAGGGTCTTAGAAGACAAAGTGTTTATATTCACTTCTGAAAATTATAAACCATCTTGTCAAAGACGGTGGGGAAAGACAGAAACAACACTTCCTGTGTGTTTTGTACCCACCAGACTCTGTGTTGAGTGCTTCATCTCCTGCCATCTCCTAAATGAGATGAACTATCTATTTTAATTCTCCCAATAGTTCTCTGTGCTGCTGTGTTCGCTAGAACAGCCACCTGAGCATTAGAAATAGGGATAGTCTAAATTGAGAGTCTGATAAGTGTGAAATAAACACCCACCAGTTTTTAAAAACTTATTGAAGAAAAAGGACTAAAATTTTGGTCATAAATGATAATATTTTGGTTATATTAGATTAAATAAAATGTATTATTAAAATTACCCCAAAAGTTCTTGGACCAGTGACTGATACATAGAAAGTTTTTATATTTTATCATTATTGTATGAAACATTTGATGCTATTGATTGTACTTACATTCTCTTGTATGAGCTCTCTCCCTTTCAAACTCTCCTTTGGCACTCATGAGATTACACTATTGCTCTCCTATTTTTGTAATTGTCCTGTAATTGTTTCCTTTTTGTTACATGTCTTACCTCTTGACATTCACTACCATGAGTTTAAAGTTGACTGATCTGCCCTTCTTTCTTGAAATAATTTTTTGAATTTTATTTATTTTTTATTTATTTGTTCTAATCAGTTATACATGACAGCAGAATACTCTTTGATTCATTGTACACAAATGGAGCACAATTTTTCACCTCTCTAGTTACCCACAAAGTAGGGTCACAACATTTGTGCAATCATACATGTACCTAGGGCAATGATGTCTGTCTCATTCCACCATCTTTCCTATCCACTTGCCCCCTCCCTTTCCCCCTCCCTCCCCTTTGGCCAATCCAAAGTTCCTCCACTCATCCCATGCTCCCCCCATTATTGATTAGCATCCACTTATCAGAGAAAACATTTGGCCTTTGGTTTTTTTAGATTGGCTTATTTCACTTAGAGTGTGTATGTGTGTGTGTGTGTATATATATATATATATATATATATATATATATATATATATATATTAGTTGTAGTTGGACATAATACGTTTATTTCACTTATTTATTTTTATGTGGTGCTCAGGATCGAACCAGAGTCTCGCACATGCAAGGAGAGCACTCTACTGCTAAGCCACATACCACAGTTTCTTTATCCATTCATCTATAAAAGGACATCTAGGTTGGTTCCACTGTTTGGCTATTGTGAATTGTGTTGCTATAAACATTGATGTGGCTGTGTCCCTGTAGTATGCTGTTTTTAAGTCCTTTGGGTATAGACCAAGGAGAGGGATAGCTGAGTCAAATGGTGGTTGCAAGAAGAGTGAAGCAGGAGGCATCACTATACCAGACCTTAAACTATACTACAAAGCTATAATAACAAAAACAGGATGGTTTTGGCATCAAAATAGACATGTACAAAATAGAAGACACAGAGACAAAACCACATAAATATGGTTATCTCATACTAGACAAAGGCGCCAAAATACACACATTGGAGCCTCTTCAACAAATGGTGCTAGAAAAACTGGAAATCCATATGCAGAAAAAGGAAACTAAACCCTAATATCTCACTATGCAAAAAACTCAACTCAAAGTGGATCAAGGACCTGGGAATTAGACCAGAGACCCTATGCCTAATAGAAGAAAAAGTAGGCCCAAATCTTCATCATGTCAGATTAGGCCCCAACTTCCTTAGTAAGACTCCTTGAAAATGCAAGAAATAAAATCACGAATCAATAAATGGGATGGATTCAAACTAAAAGACTTCTTCTCAGCAAAGGAAAACAGTGTGGTAAAGAGAGAGCCTACATTTTGGGAGCATATTTTTGCCACACACACATCAGATATTAATCTCCAGGATATATAAAGAACTCAAAAAACTTAACACCAAAATAACCTTAAAACCCAAATAACCAAAAATAACTTAAAAAATAACCAAAAATAACTTAAAACCCAAATAACCCAATCAATAAATGAGCTAAGGACCTGACCAGACAGTTCTCAGAAGAAGATATACAATCAATCAAGAAATATATGAAAAAATCTTTCTTTTTTTTTTTTAAAGAGAGAGAGAGAAAGAGAGAGAATTTTTTTTTTTAATATTTATTTTCCAGTTTTCGGCAGACATGACATCTTTATTTGTATGTGGTGCTGAGGATCGAACCCAGGCCACACACATGCCAGGCGAGTGTGCTACCGCTTGAGCCACATCCCCAGCCCTGAAAAAATCTTTCAACATCTCTAGTAATTAGAGAAATGCAAATCAAAACAACTCTAATATTTCATCTCACTCCAGTCAGAATGTCAGTTATCAAGAATACAAGCAACAAAAAGTGTTGGCGAGATGTGGGGGAAAAGACACACTCATTTCATTGCTGGTGGGACTGCAAATTGGTGTAGCTAATCTGGAAAGCAGTATAGAGATTCCTTTCTTGAAATATTGTCAACTCCTCTCAATGTGAAATCCTAGAAATGGGGGAACCATTATTGAGAAGCATATAGAAGATCAGATATGCTAGATTTCTATGCCATGAGATTCATCCAAAGAGTAAAGATAAATACACATGTTTTGCATTCTGAGATGGGCTCTGAGTCACTAGACAGCTGTGTAAATAGTTTAAATGAGGGATTTGGCTTTGGTTGGCTGTCTTTGTAAGGTAGAGGGCTGGCTGGAGTACAGAGGACACTAGCTTCAGTGTAGCACAATCATAGAGCACTTGCCTAGCATGTGTGAGGTCCTGGGATCAATCCCCAGTGCTGCTGAAAAACAAAACAAAACAAAACCCTGTTACCAGATAGATTAAATGTTCCAAATGAAGCATTGTGATTCTCCTAAACAACTCAATGTCATGTTTCTTTTTAATAAAATGCTATTTCCTTCTTTTTCCCTGTGGCAAACAACTCATCCTTCAAGTTAAGAAATTAAACTAGTCACAATGCAAACTAGAATTTCCATACATAAGCACAATAAGAAATGTTTTGTTTCTGGAAAACAATGTAGGTTATTAGACCAAAAAATTATTATGTAAATAAAGCCTTCACTGATGTAATATCTCATTCTCACAGGACTTTGTTTTTGGAGTTAACAAGATTGCTAGTAGAGTACTCATTGAAAGCTGTTGCCCCTGCACCAAAAGTGTTCTCAATCTTGACCTTGGCTACTTTTCCAGGAACAAATTTTGTTCTTTATCACTTTTTTAATAAGTCTATTTACATATGAACTTATAATATTTAAATGACTTTGCAGAATGAAGTTGCACCTGGAGGTTATCTACTTCTTTTCAATGAATCTACCCTGTAGGTTTCTTTGCCCAAACATAAACAAAAAATACTAAGCCATCTGTATTGAAGTCAAAAGTATTATCAATTTTGTAAAAAATCAACTGTATTTTCTTTGCAGCTGCCTCTCAGAAAAGAAGCTGTTATTCTTGCTAATAGCCTAAGTTTGTGTGAGTGTCCTCGAATTGAGTTTCTACAGCAAAAGTACAAAGATGAGAAGAAAAACTCTCTTGAGCATGAGCTCTTCAGACACGGTAATACAAACATACAGTGTCTCTAAACTGTTAAGTTCTAAGTCTTCAAATGCATTACTTTCATAACCTTTTTATACTTGCTTTTATCAACCAAGAGATTTTCTTCAAACCATTTTGATATTTATCAAAGTAGTAATGCATAATTTTCTCATTCATTAGGTTAGCCACACTGTCAACAAATACTTAATGAGTGATTATTATGTGTCAGCATCAGTAGGAAGAGACCCATTTGTTACTCAGATATTTAATCCAACTCGCATATATTTTACACAGCCTGCTTTTGTTCATTATGTTGTGTCATAAAAATAAACTCAACATATATATGTTAAATATACACCAAACTCACAGGAAAGAGAAAACAGAATTTGCACTGTAAATATTATAATCAGAGCACTCTAGAAGGTATGATTTATTCATGTGTTGAATCATTATAATATAAGATGATAAGAAAACCTGGTCTAATTTAAAACCAGCTATAGATAAATTGTGAAATGTACGTATTACTTTATAAGTTGTCTTATAGAAGAGTTTTGGTATTTTAATTTATTCACAATTACCTACTTTATTTGCAGCTTAAATACATAATGTAATTATATAAGTACAAGAATCAATTTATAAGACATTTCTGAGTTTACTCACAGCTATCCTGTTCTCTCTTGCCTCACTTTCTTCCACTGTTCTATCTTTACTTCTACAAGTATTTATGGAATACTTACTTTGTGCTAGGCACAGGTAGGTCATAGGGATACAGTCTATGCAAACCAGACAGTTTCTTCTTTATGGCGGTTACAAAAATTAATAATCACATAAATAAATGTAAAATTACAATTTTCATAAGGACTATAAACATGAAATATTAATGAGTAGTACCAAAGAAATTATGGTAGGGAGACTAGATGAGATCAGGGAGTAAGGGGCATTTATTCTTTGGTCTTAACCATCAGACCTACTGAATATAGGATACTCATAAATGTAATTCTGTAAAAATGACAGTCTAGATTCCAAACTATAGCTCTGCTAAAGTGATTCATGTTGAATTAAATGATGTGTATTTTGTAGTCCTTCATTTGGTTAATAAGAAATTTAAGCTGATTACTGAATCAAGATAGAACTTCTTACTTTGCAAAACCATTTGCTGCTTTTTATCATTCTTCTCTGTTTCCATCTTTAAAAAAATCTCATGACGCCAGGCACAGTGATGTATACCAGTAATTTCAGCTACTCAGGAGGCTGAGGCAAGAGAACTGCAAGTTCAGAGCCAGACTCAGTAATTTAGTGAGATCCTGTCTCAAAATAAAAATTTAAAAAGGACTGAGGTATAACTTAGTCATAGAGCTTTTCCAGTGCCACACACACACACGTACATGTACACACATTAACACACACAAAGGAAAAAAACTAAGTTCTCGCAATTTATATTTAATATCTTGTACATAGTAATAAAAACATTTCAATGTTTTATGCACAGTGATTAGAAATTATTTTCAGATTCACTGATTCTCGGGGATTCATGTTTAGTGAATTGAATTCTAAGGATCATAAGAATCTAAAGGGAAAAGAAATGATTATCCATTCAGTAGATACATACTTGATATCTTCTATGGATTTAAGGTACATGTCAGGTGTTACTTGACACAGAGATGAATTTTACTCATTTAACAACAACAACCAAAAAACCTCTTATTTTAGATTACTTAATAAAAAAATGCTAAATTATTATGTTGTTTCTTTCTTTTTCTTTTCTTTTTTGGGAGGTATCAGGGATTGAACCCAGGGTGTTCAAAACCCACTGAGCCACATCCCCAACACTTTTTATATTTTATTTTGATACATAGTCTTGCTAAGTGTTTCTTTTCTGTAAAGCCTTGCTTGGCATAATCACCGTACTCTCTTATAACCAATTTGTTTATTCAACAAATATTTATTGAGCTCCTATTTTATATCAACTATGTACTTTATGCTATGCAGTATCTCTGCCTTTACAACATATGTCAAGTCAATTAAGGTGATTTCTTGTTAAAAGTGATTTATGTTTTTTCATATTTAGGCATCCTTCTCATTACGAAAGTTTTTCTTGGCCAGAGTGTTCAGGCTCGGGAACAAGAAGCTATCAATCAAGCCAACTATCCAATGGTTAACTCAGTGTTCATTCCTCGGAAATATTTACTAAGTATGTCTGCCATAAAAAGAAATATGCTTTCATTACTCTGAATGCAAAACATTTATATTTAATGCACACACTTAAAATTTAACGTCCACCTAATGAGATTTGTAAACTTTTTAAAAAACATTTATTTTTGGCTACTAATTTTTCTATTCCATACCGCAAGACATTTATTTTTCTGCATGCATAGTTTATTTTTGCAAAATTTAATTATATATTGCAAGTGTACACACACACACAGAGGATTATCTCTCTCTCTCTCTCTCTGTGAGTAACCTATTCTAGGACCTTCACCTGATAGATACCAAAACTCATGGATGCTCAAGTTCCTTACATAAAATGCTATGGAGGGCTGCTTTCAGTGGTAGAGCATTTGCCTAATATGTGCAAGGCCCTGAGTTCAATCCATAGCACCCACAAAAATACAAATAAAATGGCATAACATTTGCAAATAAACTATGCAACCTTCCTCTATACTTTAAATAATCACTATATTACTTATAATATCTAATACAATGCAAATGTTGTGTAAATAGCTGTTATATTGTATTGTTTAGGGAATAATGACAAGAAAAAGTCTGTACACATTCAGTACAGGCAGTTTTTTGAAAGTATTTTTGGACTGCAGTTGTTTGAATTCGTGGGTACAGAACATGTGGGTATGGAAGGTTGATTGTATATGTGTGTATGTGTGTTTGTGTACATAAATGTATTAGTTTTCAAGGGATAAAAAAATTAACTTTTATCATTAGATTTAGAGTAATACATTTGTGAAAAATACATGGCCATATTTTCAATACTAAAGTAAAAGTATAAAAGGGAGCAGAGAGATGAATAAAATTGAGGCTTAGTTTATGTAGTGAAAGGATGATAGTAAGTATTTATAGAATAAAAAAGTTATTTGGGGGAATGGAAAGTTTAAAAAAAAAACTTTGGAAGCTATTGATAATAACTTATTATTAATCTATGTAAGGTTGAAAAGGTGTAGGCTGTTTTATTTTGAAGACTTTTCACTTGGTTTTGTTTTTATTCTAGATTCTATTGTGGGACAAAGAAATTGTGATTGTGGCTTTAGGCAGTGCAAGTGGTTTGTCTTTGATCATGACCTTGTCTTGCCAGAATACATCGTTGAATTTGAGTACATTACAGTGGTATGAATTGTTACATTTTTTATAAAAAAAAACTCCTTAAAATGAGGACAGAATAGTAATTTGAAGTCTAATAATGTTTTGCCAAGTTTATCCTATATATATGGGTGTGTGCATGTGTGTATGCATGTATAATGGTTATTCTGTGAAGTAATTAATTTTTAAAACAAGTCATTATAATACCTAAATATTTTTTCATCTGGTGATTTAATTCTTTATTCGCTTCTGGGAAGTTTTTTTCTCTTAGTTTCTTATTTCTTCTCTTCCATTCTATTAAGCCCTCCCTGTCTTCATTTTTACTCTTATATCTCATTTATTAATTCTTTGTTCTTGAAGATTTTTCTCAATATTAGCTTCCAGATTGCTTATTTGGTCTGCTGCCCATCTATTTTGTTTCTCAGCATTAATTGTATACTTTTATTTTTATGATTGCATTTACTTTAACATTGAAACGTATACCCTCTTGTTTTCTATAGATGCTTTATTCTCCCAGATTTTTAAAAATTTTCTAATAAACTATTTTGGTTTTTTCTAGAGCTAGCTGTTTGTTCATGTAGCTCTCGTTGATTCATTCACAATTCTCACTGTAATTACTTAGTTTCCTGTAATTACCTAGGGTATCCTCCTGCTTTTTTAGTTTTTCACTCTGAATATCAAGTTTCTCTGGATCTGATTTCAAAGTGATTCTCTCTTGCATGTGTTGGTTAGAGGTCATATTCTGCCCTTATTTGTCTTTGTCTGTCTTCTGATTTGTGTATCACAATTTCTAGTACGTTTGTTAGAGCTCCTTCCATTGTTAGAAAATATTTTGAAGTTACATTTTGCCAGTTTTAAGAAATTTTTAGTGAATGAGAATGGACACACCCATACTTGGCCTATAGTTTTAAGCTACTCTTACAGATTTTCTATTGTGATTCTGATCATTGTAGATATTGCTGATAATGGAAAGAAAGCCAATTCATCTTTTCTACATAGATTGTTTTTCAAAATGATAAATACAGCAACCAATTTTTCAACATTTTTAATAATTTTTTAGGTCAAGGCTCACTCTTTATTTTCTTCATTCAACAATGTTATTCCAGAAGAAAGCAAAAAAATTTCAGAAGGATCAATATTGTCCCAAGATTTGAAAGTTGATGATGATGTTATGAAAATGGAACCCAAGATTAAGCCCCAAGCAAAACTTATTAGTTTGGATGATAAAACAATACTTTCCCTTGCCAAGACTAACATTTACAGTCATATTGTGGTGAGTATTAAGAGTAACAAAACTTAGAGACAGGAATCTTGAATTTAGAATCAGAATCTAGCATATGAATTCTAACAATACTAAACTACCTACCTGATGGTGCTAGCTAGGCATCATACTGTCTAATTTAAAAGTGTCTAGACTTCTACTTCTAAGTAAACTAGATTAGTACTCTTGAATAGAATTGTGACAACTATATACATAATTTTAAGATTTCTAGTAGCTATGTTAAGAAAGACTTTTTAAAGTAATCAATTTCAATAATATATTTTATTTAACCCAAACATCTAAAATATTATCATTTCACATGTAATCAACATGAAAATTCATTAATGAGAGTTTCTAAATCTGAATTATGGAGTATATTTTACACTCACCACATCTCAATTTAGTCTAGCCACATTTAATGCTCAATTACCACTTGAGGTGGCTTTCCAAATAACAAATGATTTTATTCTGAATAATTAAAAGCTCTCTTTAAATGATTAGGATGAAGGCAAATAAGTTTCAAATCCGTTTCTAGGATTAATCAAATAGAAAATGGGACCTCTATCTTTAAAAAATTATTAACAGAATTTGAATTACTTGTTAACAACTTTTACTTCATAGTGGGGTAATTCTAATGAGTAAAAGCCTACTTCCATATCTGACTTTCAGGTCTGTCAATTTCTGATCTGCTGCTAACACTCTGTTCAAACTATCATAATCTACTAGATTAATACTATAACCTTCTAACCACACATTCTGCATTTTGCCATGGCAATATTGCACAACTCCAGGAGACACCAATCACATTATATTCCACTAAGTGCCCTTTGGAAAGAATTCACTATATAATTGGATAATCCTCAATGCAGAGGGGTTGCCTTCTAAAGTTATGCAACAGATATCCTATCCTGCCCCGACTTCTTTCTCCATGTTGAAGCTGGAGTAATCCTTTCACAATACAAATCTGATTATGTCACCTCAGTCCCCTCTCAGCACTCCTACTTAAAATCTACATGGCTTTCCATTGCTCTAAACTAAAACCAGCATCCTTAATAAAGCTGATAAGATTTTTCATGGCCTCACCCAAGGCCAACTTTTCCAGTCTTCTTTCACCTTATCTTCCCTCTACTTCTCCAGGCTCAGCCTCTTGCTTATTTCTTGAATACATGCTTTCAGCTAACACAAGGCTTCTGCCCTTACTGGTCCTTCCTATATTGATCTCCCCTTACTCCCTTTTCCTAGTTAACTCAAATATATCTTTTAGATGTTTACTAAGTGTTTAAAGCCTTCTATTACCTCTGAACCTAGGACAGATTTCTTTGTTTTATGCTCTGTGTCTTTCCTATGCTATAAATTCTGTAGAAGCAAAGACTGTTTCTAGTCACGTGTCCTCAGCATCAAGAGAACAACATAAGGTTGTACAGGGTATATTGCAGATAAAGTCCACATCTGAGGAGCACTTTTTAAATCATATAGTGCTATATTTAATACAACTCTTTTCTAATAACTTTTGGCAAAATTTATTGTTCTAACGAAAGCATATAGTGGCATTTTTTTTCTTTTTTGATATTAGGGATTGAACTCAGGGGCACTTGACCACTGAGCCACATTCCCATTCCTATTTTGTATTTTATTTAGAGACATGGTCTCACTTAGTTGCTTAGCCCCTTGCCATTGCTGAAGCTAGCTTTGAAGTCATGATCCTCCTGCCTCAGCCTCCTGAGCTACTGGGATTATAGTCATGCACCACCACACCTGGCATATAGTTGCATTTTTTTTAAAGAAAGCTAGACATAAAAGCATCTTGAGGAAAAAATGGATGTATTTTCCTAATTTGTGTGTATAAACCTTATGTGGATTAGCATCAACTCCACTAATACCTAACACAATACCTGGCACACACTAGATACCCTGTAGCTACTTGATTAAAATTAAAAATAATATATTTACAAATGGCATTGGTTCTTACAGAGAAAGTTGATCATTTGCTTCACCCTGCAGAAGTAATAAAAAAAATTGATGTGTCTTGAGGAGAAAAGTTATTTCTAAATGACACTATATTTCTATATGTGCAGTGAAAGCTGAGATACAGATTAAAACACAGAAATTATATTTTTAATCTTGCAAATCAACCATATTGCTCCATTCTCACATTTACAGATCCATTGTATAAGAGGACAAATTTTTCTCAAGTGACTGTATAAAGCAGAAAGAGAATGTAAAGTACTTTCCAAAAATAAATAAAGTCAATAGTTTTAAGTCTGCTTCTGAAATATTCAGGAAAGAATCTGTTTTAAGAAGTTTATGGGATTTCATTGATGAAATTACCTCATCACCATCCTACTGCATCTTTAAGTCTAGGGTATAAAGTGGTGAATAAGTCTTTACTTAAGCCAGTTATCATTATAAAAGGAGAGAAAACTTCATAACATGGCAATATCACCTTCTTTATCATAAATGTACAGAATAGTGATTATAAGAATAATCTTCAGACTGGAAGTACTCAGAAACTATTATTTTTTCTACTATTATGTCAAGATTTAATATATAAGTGATAGATTTTATAATAAAGTTTTAGTAATGAAATGATTTTAAAAAATAGTGTGCTCTGATTTGATTGAGTTTCCACAATATGTATTTCTGAGTTTAAAGCAATTAAATAAAAATTTAAACATAGCAATAGAAAGTTGCTGTTCCAAGCCAAAATAAAAAATGGAGAGTATAAGACTTTATAATACATTGGCCTTCTTGTGACCTACCTGATTCTGGATTTATTTGATCAATTCCCATGATATATGAATAGATAAGATTTTCTTCTTAAATTTGCCTATGTTGCTTAAAAGTCAGCAAATTTCTGTCTTCTAGTAAGAAGATTAGATATTACAAAAATATTTAGACATCAATAGCCCTTGCACTTCTTCCTTTGTACCACCACTTACACATAGTAAGATAGTGTCATGTAGAAATACCTTGTCTCCTTAAGAAATATCAAAATCAAGCCAAACCAAATAAAAACCACTAAAACTCAGAGTTCTCAATTATAAGTCTGGCTTTTGCATTGATTTATTTACCTATAATTTACTGAGGATTTGCTATGTTTCAGGCAGTGAGGTAAGTTTTAGGGGTTCAAAATGAATAAATTATTTTCCTTGCCTCAATAACATCAGTTTAGTAGAAGAGATAGATAGGTGGTGGAGTTGGTGGGAGAGCCTCACAGAGGTGAGTTCTGAGAGGATATTTTGTGTGTGTGTGTATGTGTGTGTGTGCATGCGTGCGTGCATGTGGTGCTGGGGATTGAACACGGCCTTGTGCATACAAGGCAAAAATTCTATCAACTGAGTTATATCCCCAGCCCTTGAAAGGATTTTTTTTTAAGATAAGAGAAATGCAGTTGTTTACATCTTCCAGAAGGAGAAAATATTATTTTTATAAGCACTTGGTTTTGAAAGATACTTTGTTTCAGGGAACACTGAGAAATTCAGGAAGATTAGGATATATATTGTGATGGTGGTAGATCAAGATAAAGGATGGAATTCAAGGAAAACACATGAAGCTGAGGCTGGAAGAGTAGGAGGTTGTAGTCACATTAGGGTGGATATTGGAAGCCAAATTTAAAAGCTTAGTTTCTTCTTTGTAAGGAACATTCACTTGGCAGCTGGTGGAGTCTAACTGAAATCAGACTGGTGGTTTGGAGATGCAGTGGAAACCCATTGCAGTAGTTCAAAAAAGAAATAATAGTCTATACTAGGACACTGGTAGGAATGGAGGTTTGAGAAATGTTTCTACAATCAAATGTACATGGCCAAAAGGGAAAAAGGGGGTTATCAATAGACAGTAAAACTCTTAATCAGGACTGAAAACATAGGCTACCCAGTAGAGATACAAGGAAGATGATGAATTCAGTTTTAGTCATGCTAAGTGTAAGTTATCTGTAGATTGTAGCATGGTGATGCCTATATTCATAAAATAATTAGTCTGCATAAATTGGCCCTTCTTCACAATTTTTGCTAGTTTGGAGTACTATTAGAAATTTAATTGTTTTTCTCTTTGAGGAATGCAGTGATTTAATATGATGGTGATGAGTGAAGATGACTGGGTGTAGACGCTTAATTTGATTATAATAATGCTCATTTGTGGACACTATAATCAACTGAACTAATATATTTAAATGCATCATTATTTATTTTGTAGGCTATACATAAATATAGACTTAACTTGATATCATTCACAATAGACAGAAAAACATGTAGGCGTCAAGATCTCCCCTAAATTTAAAATTGTAAAAGCATTCACTTTTATAAAGTTTAGGATGAAACATACAGGGAAAGTCTGGGACAAAATCCGACATAGGCATTGCTTTAGATTGTTCTCCCACCATGTTCTTTTATGTTTTGTCCTGCTGTTTTGGTACCTTTACCCATTCTTCATTAGTCCATATAGTTTTTTCCTTATAGTTTCCTTCCATGAAGGGTATACCTTGCCATATTTTTGCTGTGAGATTTACTATCTGATACCTGAAATCTTGAGAACCCCATTGTTCACTTTCCAGCCTGAGAAATAAATCATCCCTAATAAATATCTTAACACATATATTTAACTATTTCCTAAAAAGAATGTCATATCAATTATTGATAAATTTAGACCCAGTGGTAAATCATATCAATCAATAATCAGGTCCAAAGATGCTTTTTAACATTTTAACATCATAGATTAGTTTTTCTTATTGACATTCTCCTAATGTAATTTAAAATAAGCAGTTTCTTATTTTGTGTTATATTGGTTCAAGTAATTGTCTAAACAGTTTAGATATTCACAGTATGATATAGAATGTAATCTCTTTTATTTTTTAATTTTTATTGTATTTCAGAGTCTGAATCTACATGGAAACAGCTTGAGTAAATTGAGAGATCTCTCCAAATTAACAGGACTTCGAAAACTGAATATTAGTTTTAATGAATTTACTTGTTTAGATGATGTATACCACTTGGTAAGAACTTTCCTTTTGGTATCTAAAAAAGTCAAACTCATAGAAGCACAGGGTTCAATGGTGGCTACCAGGACCTGTGGGGAGGGGGGATATGATAAGATATTGGTCTAAGGTAGAAACATTCATTTAAAAGATGAACAAGCATGGGTGGTAATGATTATGTTAATTAATTGTATTACAGTAACCATCATACAGTGTATAATATACCCAATCATTACACTATACACCTTGAATAGAGTCACACTTAATCTGTCAATATAATATTTTTTAAAAACCATTGGTACAGCAAAAAATAAAAAGATAAATGATAAATTGAAATAATTTTTTAAATAACCACTCCTTTGAAAGGAAAGTTTTTTTTTCCTTTTGAAAACATTTAAGTAAAATTAAACAATTAAAGGGTAAATTATCTTTATAACTATGACTTCATACATACCATATGCAAGATTATATGGCCTAAATTAGGGATAAAGCACACATTCACTACATTCTGGTGCTTTCTCTAAAATAGATCTTAAATTTAGATTTTATTTGCACATCAAAAATATACCTATGGTCTTATCTGATATCTAGCTACTTTAATTAAATGTATCAATATATCAAAATGAATTCTGAATGTTCTTGTGTATCATTCCATTTCCTTCTGCTCTTATTTTCTCACTCTTCTCCTTCTTTTGAGTCCTGTCTTTTTCACTTTCCAGTTTACTACTGCACATCTAATGCTGTCATTCCTTTAAATCTTCATTATTCAGGTACCTGAATGTCATATGCACAGATCTTATCTGATTTGCGTTTGCCTTCTGGTATATCATAGAAAATACAATAATGTCTGTGTCATGGGCATGAATGTGTGTAACTTTTATAATTTAGAAATTCTTATCAGCCATGTGCAATAGCACACACCTGTAATCCAGTGGCTTGGGAAGCTTCGCAGGAGGATCAAAGAGTTCAAAGCTAGCCTCAGCAAAAGTGAGGCACTAAGCAACCCAGTGAGACCCTTTCTCTAAATAAAATACAAAATAGGGCTGGGGATGTGGCTCAGTGGTCGAGTGCCCCTGAGTTCAATCCCTGATACCCATATAAATAAATAAATAAATATTGACTATTCCTATTAATAATTCTTATTTAAAGTTGAAAAAAAGAAAATTATAGAGTCAAATTCATAGGTTTAATTTCTACCCCTGAGGGTGAACCTTTTAAAACCAGGTTGTGTTCAACAGTATAAACCAGAAGCTGCCTAATTAGAAGTATATTTTATTTGCTGAGGACAAATCATCTTTTCTATTTCATTTTGCTTTCTCTCCCATGAAAGCAAATATGTCTGATCTATGTTATAAGAGTTAAGTGTGAATTAAGAGAGAATTACCATCAAATGAAATACCCATAGCTCTTTAGGAGAATAAACATATTGATTCCATTATTGTAGCTTATCTACTGTGTCTGTTTTCTATGAGGATTATAAGAAAGCATGCAAGGCATTTAAAGAACCAGAGAAAAGAGCTGTGTAAACACAAGCCATGATTCTGACCATCACTTTTGTTTGTCTGTGCTACAGTATAACCTTGAATATTTGGATGCAAGCCACAACCATGTGATAACTCTTGAGGGATTTAGAGGTCTGATGAAACTAAAGCACTTGGACTTGAGCTGGAATCAACTAAAGAAATCTGGGGATGAAATAAATGTGTTATGTAAACACACCACAAGCCTTCTCACTCTTAATATTCAACATAATCCATGGCAAAAGGTATGCAACAGACATGTTTTTGAAAAAGCAAACACTTAATAGTATCCAGAAATGGGACAACTATCTTTGTTTTTCTGGACTTAAAATCCTTATAAATTGAATTTAGTGTAGTAATCAAATGTATCAGATGTTACCATAAGAAAAGGCTATACTTTCATGTTAAGTTTTTTTTTTTTTTTTTGTAACCTCTAACAGTTTGAAAGCATTATTGCTTTAAGAATGATTGATGTCACTGGCTTCTGCACGCCTCCAGAGAATTTATAAAGCTGTGTGCCAGAACCCTACTGTAATGAGGCACGGGAACCAAAAATAATATGATACAGTGAGGGAAGTATACTATTAAGGAAGAAACATAGTTTGATGTGTAATATATTCTAATCTGTGTTTGAGAAACATGTTTTACAATTATACTTAGAATTTTGCATTGTTCTCTATTTTAAGTCCAGAAATCACCTCCCCTTATAAAATTGCATTATGAAGTCTTAAGTTCTATTGTGAGATGAAATATGATTGAACAGTATTTTTATCATCATGAAATATGTGATTTCAATATTCAATGATTAGATTTAAGGGTATCTCCAAATATTTTAAATAATGTCCAAGTTTATAATTTCAAGAATCTTTCTTTCTCCACCTCTGAAATGTGTTATGTTCAACTTTTTATGGGGGACTAAAGAGTGATCAGTTTATTAAGTTGGCCATATTTCTGAATTTATATTACTATATTTCTTCTTTTAAACTTGCAAAATTTAATCTTTTTCTTTTGCCAAAGCAGACCTTCTGGATGATCACAATACAACTCTCTCCCTGCTGCCAAATTGGATGTCCGGGGCTAACTGTCCATATTGAATCACACATGGAGCTTACTAGCTTATTGCTCATCTAGAAAAACAGGAGTCATTGCAGTTGTTCTTTTAACTCTTTTCACCACAGCCAATTTTCAACAGTTCATAGGACTTCTCCCCTTCATAAGAATGGAATCATCCATGTGAAAATGAAACAGATTAACTCTTCAATATAATTTAATTTCAATTATTATTTAAAGAATTAAATGAAGCCTTTGTTTTTAGATACATGTAAGGAACAAGGAAATGGATAATTTTTAATTATAAGGAAAGAAATGAAAAAATGTTCCTTTCTATACTATAATATATGTAATATTTTGTGAAAATTAACTTTTTGTAATTTTTCCCAAGCCAGCCACATTGAGGCTGAGTGTCATTGGCAGATTAAAGACTCTTACACATTTAGATGGACAACTAATTTCTGAAGAAGAAACAACAGCAGCTATGAAATTTATTACTGGAACAAAGATTACTCAGGTTAGATTTTACTGTTTAATATTTCTTGTACTATTGGAACATATATATATTTCCTGTACTCACTTTTAGTTGTTAAGATTTTATATTCCCTCTTACCATATTAATAAAAAATAATATGTAGCAATTATACCACTTGGTTGCTTTCTGTTCATATGAACCTCATTTGAATACCATCTGGTTATATGGACTCTTTTGATATAGCCCTGTATACAATCCCACAAATACCTTTAGGGTTACATTTTTTTCCCCTAGTTACCTCAACTTAGCAGAGTCTGTTCTAAAGCCTATATAAGGAACTTTGTGAGAATGAGGTAAGCTTAGAGGCCTTGAGAAAGCGTTTAGTGAATTATCTGCTTAGTTTTGACAGATGAGCCCAGAGATGAGGAGAGAGAAAAATATAGCTATATTATCCAGATTAAAAAATGCTATACTTAAAAAAAAGACATACTAGAAACAGATTTATCAAAAATAAAAACAGTGATTCTTTTATGGTTAAAAAAATGCTATACTTTAGCCAAAATAGCTTCAACCTCCTAAATATCACCACTATATCTAGCTATTTAATTTCTGTGGGGTACATGAATATTAATTCCTTAAATAATGTAAAGTTTAACTTTGGATCTCTTCAAGATGAAGGGAAGAAATATTTTGGTGATTAAAAAAACACTCTATCAACACTCCTAAAGACTTGAGAATTAGCTCTACCAGAAATCAAAGTTTATTAAAAATTTTAAGACAATGTTATATTGGTGCAGTTAGACAAACAGTCCAACAGAACAGAATAAAGATCTAACCGAGATCCATACAGCTATGGAAACTTGATAAATAACAGCTACCTTTTGCATATAAGAGGCTATTTGGTAAAAGGCATTGACACAAGTACATTAAAGACTTCAGTGCAAAAAGCAAAACCAACCATGTTTTAGAAGAAAAGATCAGATTTATTATGACCTTGAACTAAGGAAGAATTTTTTAGGAAAGAAACAAAGAGCATAAACCATAAAAGATTGGTTTTGCCTATATCAACATTAATATGTCTTTTGCATAAGATACCATAAAGAAAGTAAAAAAGACAACCTACATACTAGGGAAAGAAATTTGCAACATGCATGTCAAAAGATATTCTTTATATATCTAGAATGTGTAAGGGAAAAGACAACCAACTGAACAGAAAAATGAGGAAAAAATTTGAACAGACATTTCACTAAAGAGGAAATCAGAACAGCCAGTTAGGAAAAGATGCTTCACCACATTAGTGTTCAAGAAAATGAACATTAAAACTACAATGACCTACTATTTATTAAAGCTGACAATAACAACTTTCAGGAAGAATATAAAGTAACAGTTATAATTGGTACAATTTGGTGCTATTACACACACACACACTCACACCACCCCCTAAAGTCCAGCAGTTTTACTTACTGACATATACTCTAAAGAGCTCTTACATGTATGTTTCAAGAAACATTTACAAGTATGTTTATGATAACAGTGTTCAAAAAGGCAAGGACGCGGAATCAACCTGAGTGTTCATTGGCAGGAGACTCATTATGGGAATACAGGAATACTGTACAGCAGGGACATATGAATGAACTACATCTACATAGAGAAGCACAGATAAAATTTCACAAATAGGATGTTAAGCAAACAAAGCAAGTCATAGAAAAAGTACATTATTTATTTTTTCATAAAGTTCAAATATATTCATGACAGGGACCTTATAAGGTATTAGTAATATTCTCTCAAGCTGCTTTAAAGGTTGGATTATATTGGTGTTTGTGTTATAGTAATTCTCTTCAAGGTTTTATAAATATTATCTTCTAATAGTTCAATATTTGCTAAAATGAAAAAATGAATACTTAAAAATACATCTAGATATTGAAAATATGTTAAGGCAAACAAATTGTCCTGTTTAAAAATTATGTATTGTGCCATTTACTTTTCCTAGGAAATAATACTTTTTAAATATATATAAATGAAACTCTGTATGCTATTTCTTTTATTCATCATGTTTTTTTTTTTTTAATTTTATTAGCTATCTATCTTACGGCATTCTAGTACCAAAGAGGAGAGACCACGGATACTTAGTATCTGGCCTTCTGCCAAAATTCTGACACAGATTTCAAAATTTGGACCACACTTACATCTGAATGGAAACTGGCACTTGAAGGTATAGGCTAATTCTATGAAACTTAATATAAAAGCTTAATTTAAATTGATGTTGTCAGTCAGTCTTGGTCTATCATAAAGAGGGCACAGATAGGTAAGGGGAAAAATTGAAAGAGATGAATTAAAATAGGGAAGGAATACTTAAGATGCACCTTCTTAGCAAATTTCAAGTATATTATACAATATCTTTAACTTTAGTCACAATATTGTACATTAGATTTAATCTTGCATGACTGAAACCCTTTGCCCCAAATCCCTGGTAACTACCATTCTATTCTCTGCATTCATGAGTTTGACTATTTTAGATTTCACATATAATTGAGATCATGCAGTGTTTAATCACAGTGTATGTATATCAAATGAAGTTGTACACATTAAACATATACAACTTTATATTTATATTTATACTTCATAAAGTTGGAAAAATAAAAAGGCAATGTTATTATTAGAAAAAAAAGGTAATAAATTTACCACATTCCAAAACATAAAAAAGGTCAAGTTGTAGATAGATGTCACTGTTGTGATAGATTTTGACTATTGTTACTGTAGAATTAGAGATTTAGGACAAAGGTATGTTGCAAAGTAAAGGATAGATTCTGATAATATGTCACAAACAGCCAGCAGACTTTAAAGGATTAGAGACAGGGATCAAGCCAAAATTTTGGTGATAAGGATCATGAATCTTGGCAAGGGGATAGAAGAACTAGTCAGAATTCAGCCCAGGTAAGGGAAAGGCCATAGAGCACTAACAATATCTTGTTACATTAGGTCACTAGAACTCACCAGAGTCCTTAATGGAGCCTACAAGACAGATAAAATTGGGCTAAGAAACGATTGAAACTTGCCAGAAATATATACTTGGCTAAGGGAGTCCTTGAAAATGAAAGATAATGGTGGCATCGTTTTTATTATGGAATATATACTGATTCTGAGCTTCAGTACAGGTCCAATGACAGCTTTGGTCAATTCCATGGGGAGTCCTGGAATTAGAAATGTCCTTTAAATTTTTCCCATGTCAGACTGAGATGCCCAGGTCTTTATTTCTCTTCATTATTGGATATGGGCCAACATGGGAAGGAGAGTGACCTTGGTCAAGGCAGCTGTCTGTAGTCCCTAGAGGTGATAACAGCTTTAGGCTTTCTGCCAATAGCACTGCCCACAACTAGGACAAGTCCTTTACTGTAGGAGGAATCTGACTGGCACATCAGTGCCCCTAATATCATAAAAGTCCCTATTGGACTCACAGTCTTCAAATTTTATTTTTTTCAAAATTAAGAATGTCACAATATTTTTAGTTTCTGAAGGAATTTTGAATTCTAATGTTCAATTTTTTTTAACTTGTAACATTGATTGAATTTATTTACAAGATTCAGAAGTAACATATAATGTGAATTATTGTATAGATAACTGCCTTAAATTTAGATGGACAACATCTCTTTGAAATCACAAATTTAGAAAAATTGGAAAATTTGAAATGGGCATCATTCAGCAATAATAATCTCACTAAAATGGAAGGCTTGGAATCCTGTATCAACTTGGAAGAGCTCACATTAGATGGAAACTGCATCTCAAAGATAGAAGGTAAGACACTCAAGAACTTTGAAGTCTCAAAATGTGAATGTCTAAACAGTAGGAGCAAAAAAAAAAAAAAAAAATGGTGACACTGAGGACAGAATCTCTGAAGAAGATGATCACTAGAGAAGTTCCAAGAAGGTTTGCAGCAGATATTCTAAATACCTATTAAGTGAGATTGTTGCAAGCGGTATACTATGCATAATGAGCCCAGGTGGACTTTGACCTCTTCTTCTACTCTGTGCCAGTATTTACCAATTATTACTACTCCCTAGCACATACAAACTAGGGAGTTATTAATATCTTTAAATTGAATAAAAGGATAAATGATGTATGTTAGGTGCAGGACAGGCTGAACTATGTTATCTGCAGGGCAGGCCGAACAAATGTTAGCTGCAAGATGGCCCACGCACTCAAACCCCCCTCTGTCTGGTCCTTTATCACCTATTTGCATCAAAGCTGAACCCTCAACCCCCACTCAAGGCTGAACACTCAACCCCCCCCCTTGCCAACAAGGCAGCTTGCAGACCCAGAGGCCCCATTAGATTTGGGCTATAAAAACTCCCTCCTGCTGGGCCCCTCTCTCTCTTGTTCTCTTGCTCTGTCTCTCTCTCTTGCTCTGTCTCTCTTGCTCTTGCTCTTGCTCTCTTTCTTCTCTCTGTCTTTCTCTTTCTCTCTTTTCTCCTCTGTTGCACTGCTGCAATAAAGCTCTCTTGGTTGCTCCGAGTGTTGTGGTCACTTTCCTTTCAATGTATATCTTGAAAAAAACAAGCTAGTTTATTTTGCAAAATATGGAATTAAGTTTGTATTTGGAAATTTTAAGACTTCAACAAATATAATTACACTTAGTATAGAATGAAAATCAAATGTACTATTTATAACCTTTTAATGGATCTACATACAAGTACAATTAAGCAACTTTAGTAATGTCTCAAAATAAGAAACCAATGTAATATGTTTTATTTAAATTTTTAAAACTCAGTATTAAAACATTTTTCTTAAATGAACAGAATAAGAAAGACTATTCCTGTCTTCAGATTTTCAAGATTCTTTACTTCATTTGGGTTTCTTTACTTCATTTGGGTTTGTGCTTATCTGTAGCTAAAAATCTAGAGTTTGGAGGGCTTCTTCTAGAATATTCCAAGTTATATTTTCTGATTCCTTCACAACTTTACTTGTATTCTCCTTTAATGCTTTGAATCTGGAAAGAAATTGAAAGAAAACTTCTATAGCTTGCTAACAACTCCTCTTATTCTTCCTCTCCAAAGATCATTGTCACTTAATTCCACAACCCTTTGGAAGTAGATTTTAGTATGACCCTTTTATGGATGAAGAAACTGAGGCTCAGAAGTTTCAAAATTTACCTATGGTCCCAAACCTAATAGTGATACATTTAAAACCAACTATGACACCATCTTTAAACTGAACTATCTTGCCCCCCACAATTACAGAGTACCTATAGCTGCAAAGGTTACACAGGGGTAAGATTCTAGTTAGAGGGGCCATTTTCTAAACTGTCTTAGAGCGTTTCTGAATATACCATGGGGAAATTAGGCCAAATGAGTCTCTTAAGTACAGATGATTCTATAATTAGTAATCCTTTCCAATTTCTTACCTTAATGTTTTAAAATGAGGGATAGGTGATTATTGAGTTTTGTGTATAGCTTTGTGTTGTCTTGAAGATGAAAGTCCTGATTAATTATATCATTTTAAGGTTATTTGGTGGATAAATTAAGTATTTGCTATGTGGTGCTTTTCCTTAACATCTAAAAAAATGAATCTAAAATTAGAATTAGATATTTGAAAAGGGATTTTATTTATTTTTGTTTCCCTCTAAAAAGCAGTGATGGTTACAGAATCTTTAAAGCCATTTGAACTTAAATAAAGAGAAACAGTAAATGGTCAGTTATTTTTAAAATTCTCTTTTCAGTGCTGTCTGAAGATTTCTTGAATTTATTTATTTTTCTAGGCATTTCCAAGCTAACTAAATTAACTCGCCTCAGCATAAATAATAATCTTCTAACTGGTTTGGAAAAACATGTTTTTGATAACTTGCTTCATCTTCACTCTCTTTCTCTTGAGAACAACAGAATCACTTCATTGAGTGGTTTACAAAAAACTGTTAGTCTAATTGAATTGTACATAAGCAATAACTATATTGCTCTCAATCAGGAGATCTACAATTTAAAGGTAACTGGGGTATTTATTAACTTTTGTTTCTTTAAAACATTTATTCATACATTGGAAGCAATGCATGTTAGCTGTAAAGAATTTGAAAAATGTAGAAAAATCTATAGAACTAAATTAAAATAAGAATAATAAGGTTTATTAAAATACATTTGCATTTAATTTGTGTACTGAACAATCATATATGTATGTGTAACCATAATGACCCCAATTTGATAACTTTTTATTTTAATACTTTAATAAAAGAACCCATGCCCATTCCTCTTCATATATGCTGCCTTCAGTATTTCCAAGAATTGACTGACCTGGTAGGGAAGTAGGATTTCTTAACATTCTCCTTTGTCAGTACAAATCTTGATTATCTCTCTGTTTTTACCAATAGTTCCAATTCTTTCTTTTCACTTTTATTCAGATTTGTACTCTTTAATTCCCCTAAAAGAATCACTAATTCAAGGCTACTGTGTAACACGCTTTACTAAAGGTTTGGAAGAAATGGAGGATTTTTATAGCACAGAATAGGAATTCACTGCAAATGTAATGTAACAACTTCATGTTAAGTTCAGTGGCCACTTTCTACCACTGAGAGTCTTACACTGGCCTATCCTTTTGCTGATACCATGTTATAGGACTTATACTAAAATTTTGTGTCCATTTCCTGTTTTTCCTTACATCAGTGTTCTTCCCATCCTATTCCCACAAAATAACTTCTAAAGTCACCCAACCAACCTAATTAACATCAGCCACCAAATAAGCCATTTTACATTTTGATGCAGAAAAATTTTACTTCCTATTGTTTTAACTTCTATCCTCTCCTACTCAGGGTCTTTCCTTCATAGCACAACTAAATGTATCATAGAGTAAGAAAGCACATTTTCCCTTAAGATGTGTTCTGTCGCCCTCTCATTTTTATCTCTTTTCAAATGGCAGTGTCTTTTCATTTCTTTTATATCCGTATATACACATACATACCATTTGATAGGCCATTATTCCATAAACAAAATATATTGTCTTAAAAGATATCAAAGTTCCCCTCTAAGCCTTTACCATTGAAAGAAAACACTGAAAGTCTAGTGTCCTTAAAAGATTTCTGATCAGATAACATATATCAAACTGAAATGTGGCATAAAAATATACCTTAGTGGTCTAGAAAGGTAACCCTTGCATTTAAAGTTATACCTAAAAACACTCAAATTCTATAAAATTATAAATTATTCAAGGGTGTTTAATCTCATAGTGGAAAAAAACTTTCTGGGTTATGATGTATATCTTCTGTTACCTAGGGTTTATGCAACTTGGTCATTCTAGACGTGTACGGAAACATTATTACATGGAATCAAGAAAACTACCGATTATTTGTAATATTTCATCTTCCAGAATTAAAAGCTTTGGATGGAATCTCAATTGTAAGTTGTTTGATGACTCATAGCATTTGGTTCAAGCAGCAAATTCGTATACTCATAGGCCATAATCATTTATTTAGAACACTGACTTATCACTAGCATACCAAAACTTACTATGTTTATTAAGATCTCAGTCTCCAAAACTCATTTTAGATCTGGATTTTAAATTTTTCTCATCTGGGCAATTTTTAAGTGTCTAAATTGAGATGGAAAGGGAGGAATATGATGCTTACATTTGTACCCACTGAGATCAATGTCTAAAAAGTAAAGCATAATTTTGTGGAACGGGATAGGAAAAAATATGCCCTGGAGCCTTGATATCTTTTTAGACCTAAAACCAGCTTTGTATTTCTTGGAAAAATATGATTGTTAGTAATTAAGGAAAACCAACAAGTGTAGTATGACTATATCACTAGTAAATGGTAAAAATTTAAAAAAAAAAACACACAGAGAATTCATGGCTGAATATAAAAGCAACATTTGGAAACTTGGATTCTATAAAAAGCAAGTTCATATGAGGCTCATGATTTCCATGGGACAGGGTAAAAACATGACAAATGTGTGAAGAATAAAAGGTTTCCTTGGGTAATGTTGCCTAACTCCCATTAGTCAATAAAACTTACACAATTTTTAGGAAATTGAGAAGGTAGTTCATGATTATTTGGTACTCAGGTGCTCTGAAAAAAAATTACTAATCCCTTTCCTTATTCTTAAAGGGTCCTCCTGAGAGAATCTAAAACAGTTTCACTTCAATAAATACATATTCTCTAGAATCTCGTGTACTGGGTTTTACTTAGTTGTTAGCTTTCATTGAGAACTGCTTAGTAAAACAGTCTTATGAAACTATTCTGCATTTGCTGTAAAAGATGTTGAGAATCATTTCTTCCTATCTCTCTGTGACCTCATTCAAAGGACCACATGAGAAAATACTTTTAGAGATAAGTATAGAAAAAGCCTTTTTGCCTCTAAGGAAAAGTTTTATTCTCTCACCCATAATGAGTAGTGTTCAACTATTTTTTTTCCTCACTTTGACAACTAAAAAGCTCAGGCCCAAATTTTATAACTCAGTAGGATCTTATGGTCTCTCTGTCCCTAACCCTGGTTTTTATCTATTTTAACTTATATTTTTCTTAGTCTATGTCTTCATTATTTGTGATTTGCATTTTACTATTTTATTGTATGTGTTTCCTATAAACTGCCACAAGTTCTTTACAGAATGGGGTATGATACAAATTTATAAATTAATAATTTTACATGAAGACTAGACTGAAGAACTTAGACATTAAATGAGAAATAATAGAAATGCATTAGATTTATGAGTAGGGAGAGAATATATTCAGCACATATATATATATGTTATGAAATTTCATCTATGTTCATCAGAGATATTATCCTATAATTTTCTTTCCTTTATGTGTCTTTGTCTGGTTTTGGTATCAGGATCATGCTTCACAAAATGAATTTGAGAGTGTTCCTTCCCTTTATACCTCATAAATAATTTGAGGAAGATTGGCATTAGTTTTTCTTAAAGGTGTAGGAGAACTTGGCTGAGAATCCATCTAGTCCCAGGTTTTATTTTGTTGGAAGGCTTTAAACCTGTGTGTTTCATTATATTTGAAGTGATTTTCTGTTTACAGCAGATAGTTGGGTCTTTTTCTTTTATTACTACCAATTTATATCTTGGATTGATGAATATAGGCCATTTACATTTAATGTAGTTATTGACATGCTAGTGATAAAGTTTGCAATTTTGTTTTTATTTTCTGGTTTTTTTATATCTTTTTTTCTGTTTTCTTCTGTTTTTTTATGAGCTGATTGAACATATGTCAAATTTTTTATTTATCTGTAATGGGTTTTTTATGTCTGTTCACATAGACATTTTAGTGATTGTTCCAAGTACTATATAACATATACATAACTTAATGAGCTCTATTGTTGAAATTTTTACCCGTTTTAATTAAGAGTATAAATCTTATTTCCATTATTTCTCCTCCACTGTTAATAATTATCTTAAATATATTCTCTGTATATACTGAGAACCACATCAGATATCCCTTTATGCTTTAACCAAACAAAGATAATTTGGAAAGTCTATTGTACTTGCTTCTTTCCTGGTATTCCAAAATTCCTTTTGTTGGTTAAGAATTTCCATTAGTCATCTTTTATGGTATCTCTGATGATGATACTTTGCTTAGTTTTCTTTCATCTGAAAAATGTCTTAATTCCCCTTTTCATTTCTGAATGACAGTTTCTCTTGATATATAGGATTCTGGGTTGACAATTATTTTATTTTGCCACATCCTCTGTTTATTGGTTGCTGATGACAAATATTTTGTCATTCAAATTGTTTCGTCCTCCTAGGTAAAATTTTACTCTTCCCTGACTGCTTTTATAATTTTTCCTTTATTAGTTTTCAGAAATTTGATTGATTTTGATTGTGTCTATGTGTCATTGCATGAATTTGGGGAATTTTTTCTCTTCTTGGATTCACTCAGCTTTTTAAATCTGTAGGTTTATGTCTTTTGCTAGATTTGGAGGATTTCCTGCTATTATTTCTTCAAATATCTTCTCAACCTCATCTGTTTCTTCTCTCCTTATATGAATCCCATGGTAAGAAGAGTGTTTTATTTTTTTTGTTTTTGTCTGTTTTTCTATTTTTATTATCTTCAATTTCACTGATTCTTTCCTCTTCATTCTTTTATTGAGCATTTATTTCCATTGCATTTATATGTCTATTGTATTTTTCAGTTCTAAAATTTCTATTTCAACCTTCTTCATATTTTCTACTTCTTTGCTGATAGATTCATTTTTTTCATTTGTTTTAAATACATTCACAATTGCTTGTTGAAATATTTTTGTGATGCCTGCTTGAAATCTGTCAAATAATTACAAATATGTGTTATTTCAAAGTTGTTGTTTGTTGATTGTGTTTTCATGCTTGAGTTTAGATTCCATTAGTTTGGCACATGGTGAGAGCTTTTTCTATTTTATTTTGGATGTACTGGTATTATGTCCAAATTTTCTTCTCAAATCTTCTATTTTAGCAAACCTCACTTGATAATACTATACCAGTGAGAAGTTGGGCTACTACTTTGTTGTTTTCACTAAGAGACAGAAATCCAAGTTCCCCCCACTTGGCTTCTGTTAACAACCTGACATGAACATCTTAATTAACTGCTAGACTGCAGTAGGAGTTTATATTTCCCACCAGGCTTCCATTGATTCTCTCTGGCTAGGAGAGGAAGAGAGAGACTCCTTGTTACTATTCCCCATAGGCCTCCACTCATTCATCCTAGCTGACAGAGGTAGGAATACCTCATTAATTCTCCACAGACACCTCATTATTACCAAGTAGAAGTGGGAATCCAGGCTCCCCATGTGGTCTGAAGTAATACTTTTTTTGGGGGGAAGGGGGGGTGTATTACTGTTAGGAGCTGATAAAAGTCCAAGCTGACAAGTCACAGGGGAATGACAGAGGAGTGCTTCGTTACAACTGGGCAAGTCTGAGCAGCCCATTCTGCTTTTACTGGTGGGGATAAAGTTAAGACTACAGTATATTTTGTGGTGTTCACCTGGAGTAGACATATTATTATTTAAAAGTTTTCTGTCTTCTGAGGCTTTCAGTATCCTAGAGAAGACAGACTGGTTTTTTTTTTTTCCTATTGTTGACATTTTGGCATTTATATTTTCTCCAGCACCTGAATGACATAAATGAGGCAAAAAGAAAATCCAGATTATCATTCTTCAGGTCCCAAGGTCCCTAGCTAGTCTACCTTCTCTGCACCATTTAGTATTTTCATGTTTTTTAAATATATAATGAGCAGGGGTTAACCTGTACTTAGTGGAAAGAATACAGTCCACTCCATTTTTACCTGAAACTGGTATCCTATATAGGAACCACCAGAGACTGAGAGTGCAAAAGATTTGTTTGGTGGAAGACTTACCTCTGATATGATTATAGAACGACAAGGACATTCAAACTTTTCCCAAATGCAGGAATTAAATTGGACTTCATCATCCATAAGGTATAATCACTTTATTAGATACCTTTTGATATTGTAATTAAATATATAATTATTATGATGATTTTTCTGAATCTCATACATTTATACATCTTATCTAACCATAACCAATAAATCATCAACCCTATTCCAAAATTCATGCTAACTTTACCATTCTTTGAAATGAATTAATAATTTTTTATTATATAAGACTATGTTTTCAAATATCAATTTCTTTCTTGGATATTGTGATTTTGCTTTTCAACCAAATATATTAGTCTCTCTCTTTTATTTTTTTAGCAAAAACTTAAATGTTTTAGTTAAGAAAATCTTGAAGATCAAAATTTTTTAAATTAAACAACACTTTAAATTGCAACTTATTAATCACAACAGCATCACCAAAGACATATAATAGACATGAAAGTAGTATTCTTTTTTCAGGCTCCAGACTTGTCTGATAACATGGATTCCCAGGTCTTCACTAATAACTCTACAGCCTGCAGTTGCCAGAGTGTAGAGCTCAATGTGGAAACCATGATTAAGTGAAACCCATGGTGAAAGACACGGGGGAGGGGGGGGGGGGGGGGGGGGGGGGGGGGGGAACGACCCAACAAGGGAGGAGACCTGCCCAAATTACACAAACTAATAAACAGTGATGTCAGATTGGCAACCAGACCAATGCTAGGAACAGGTTATGCAACTCATATCTTATCCCTCTATTCCAATGCAGCAGTACTTCCACTGGCACATTTTTTGTTTTTGTGGATTGAATCATCAATGCTAAGCAAGTTCCCAACCATATACCATTCCTATGATAAACTGTTTTCAGTTCTTATCAAACTTGACCCCTCTGAGGGGCCAAGAATGCTGATTCCTCTTTCACTTCGTATATCCCCTTTTTTTTTGGGGGGGGGAGTTAAACTGGGGGTTGAACCCAGGAGTTCTTAACTACTGATTCACATCCCCACCCTTTTTTAATTTATTTTTAAAATTTCACATAGGGTCTTGCTAAGTTGCTTATGGTCTCAATAAATTGCTGAGGCTGGCCTCAAACTTCTAATCTGAATCAACGAAAGATGTGAAAGATCTATATAATGAAAACTACAGAAGCCACTGGGATTATAGGCATGCACCATCATGCCCAGCATTCTTATCTCCCTTTCTAAACCATAGTTTCACATTCTTGGTTTTACTATAAAATTCTCAGATTTCTTTATGAGTTCTTAACTTTCTGATGATCTCTGAATTTCATCCTTAGTCCCCCTTCTATTCTATCTTACTTCTCTTTTATAATCCCCTCTCCTTTGCTCTCATCTTTTTCTTATTCTGTACTCTTCCTGAGCAAACAAGATTTAATTTTTGGTGATGATTCCCAAATTTACCATATTTAGCCCAAACTTATTCTCACCTGAGCATACAATTGCTCTGTAGATAGTATCTAAAAGGCAGCATCTACCCAAGCCAAAAAAAGAAAGAAAGAAAAATTTTGTTTTCCATTTTTAATTCATCACCATCTTTGTCAATAGATCCATGTTTGAATTTTGTCTCAAAATTCCTTTGTCTTTCCATAGTCACTGCCATTTGCAGTAAACTGTTTTAGAAACTCCTTTGGTGATCTTTTTGTTTGACTTACATAAACCTTCCCTGAAAACCCATTTTGTTACCCATATTGCCTTCTAAGATGCAAGTCTTATCATATCATTTCCTTTTTCAACATTGTCAGTGGATTTCATTGTCTACAGAATAGAATTAAAAATTCTGTGTAGTGTAGAATAATTTTTATCTTTTGTAATTCTTACCTTTGCTTCTCATGACACTTTATACTTTAGAAACTCTGAAATATTCTAGCTTCTAAATCTTAATCATAAGATACTGTTTTCATGTTTCTCTGCCTTTGTGCCTATTGCACTGTCAGCCCTACTAATTTGCTTAACACCTACGGGTCAAATCCTCAAAGTCTCACCTCAAGCTCTTTCTCTTCCTATAGGTTTTCTTTCCCTAAAACATCATCATACCTAAATATATTAGGTGTCTGTTTTCCAATGCCATAACTACTTTCTCCTTTTCTTTACTGTCCCTATCCACTTCCTGTCATTTCAGAAATAACCTGATTTACATATATAGTCTCTGAAGTTTACAACCTCAAAATCTTAAAATTTACCTTATCAATTTCACCATGGTTTTATGGACATGTAGTGAATTTATAAATGAATTACAGATTTTTATTTTATAGGTTTCTTTTGCAATAGTGTTATGTTTATGTGGTAATAGGCATTCTTAAAACAATCAAATTCTATCATTTTCTTACACATGTGCCCAACAAAAATATGTATTTAACTGTTTATTTTGATTCCTACATTTTATATTAAGGCAATTATTTTTCATAGTATTTGTCAGATATCTTTTAAAAAATACCCTTAGGAGTTTATATATGGAGGAACTCAAAAAACATAGGAAGTTTTTTTCTCTGCCCTATTAAAATAATAACTATATTTGCTTTGTTTAAATTCAGAACTGTAGATTTGATTCCAGTTGACCAATTTAGAAATGTGAGTAATGTGAACCTACAGAACAATAATCTTACCTCTTTCAGTGGACTAATCTATCTGCCGAATGTGAAGGTGAGTCACCTACAAATCTTCTCTCTTTTTTGTTTTAGGTTTTCAATGCAAATTGTAATCTTCTTTATTTTTAATTAAAATATATTTCCATTTACTAAAGCAGAGAAATTATTCCAAAGGTTTTTGTTTTGTTTTTATTTATTTATTTTTTACTAGTCAAGAAAAAGTATTACCTCCCAAAGTTATTTTGATTTGACCTCCATTCATTGATTGTCTTGCATGCAGTAAATCTTACTCTGCAGGAGGAGAGGGGATAAAAGGCTGCCTCCATAGTGAGAAGGTATGACATGAAGTTGAGAATGCTAAGGTTCTTCAAGCAGCCTCATTGTCTCCTTTCCTGTTACCTCAACTCAGCCACCAAATAAGGCCTAGCCTAAGGAGTTATTCCATCGACATCACACCTTAAGAAATCAGAAGTGCAGACTGAGAAAGCTGTGTAGCTTTCTCAAGTCTTTCTTGTTTTATGTGTGGTGTTATGATTTTCCAACATGTAAGATAATTAAAAACACATCTAAAACTAAATCTAAATAATTTGGGTTATAAAAACTTATCTTTAACACTAATATTTTATTAAATTATGTTCATATTACAAGTTTTTCCTTATAATTTTAATAGTTTGTAGGATATTGGATTAATAAGATATTCTTCCCATAGGTCTTATGCCTCAACTATAATCATATTGATTCAATCATGCCTAGACTAAAGCCTCAGACTCACTTAACTAATAGACAACTACTTTACCAGAAAGTACCTTCAAGTGGTTATGGACAACAAGGAACTTCAAAAATAAATAGGTACAATTCTTTTTTAAATTACAAATAATTTTTATTGGGAATTTTAAAGTAATATGTTTCAGTACATACATTTAACTTATTTTATTAATTATTTTATTCAAAAGCTATATGTCAAAAGTGAACTTCTCAAATAAAAAGAAAATACTTAAACTATTCTTTGCAGCCAGGCATGGTGGCACATACCTCTAATTGCAGCAACTCTGGAGGGAAGGCTAAGGCAGGAAGATCACTCAGCAACTTAGTGAGACCCTGTCTCAAAATAAAAAATAAAAAGGGTTGATGATATAGCTCAGTGGTAGAGCAACCCTGGGTTCAATCCCAGGTACCAGTAAACAAATGAGAAACTATTCCTTTGGACATTTTATCCCTGCTTCCTCCATTTCATACTTAGATTGTAAATAAAGAAAAAAAATTAAAAAAAAACTCAAGGTCACTGTAGATTCAGTGACTTTGAGTTTTTTTTTTAATTGAGATACAATTCACATACTAAATATAATTAACCCTTTGTGTACAGTACAAGGATTGTTTGTTTACCATCTCCACTATCTAATTCCAGAACATTTTTATCATGCCAAAAAGGAATCCTTTATTCAAGTAGTATGGGCCTAGGTTTCTCTTAAATATATTTGCTTTCTTTTTATTTCTAAATTATTTATCTGTACATTTAATGCCCCAATATCAATGGCAAAGATAAAAAGATACTTCATGAAAATGAGGACACATCTTATTTATATTTATATAAATATATATATATATACACACACACCTATATGTATACATAAACACACCTTGTATATATATATGTGTATATGAACTTCATAAATAGATACTTCAACTTTATGTATATAATTTAATATATATGTTCATATATATGAATAGGAAAATTATATATATGTATATATATATATATAGAATATATAATACATGTATCAGTCAGAATACTTTCATTTACAGTATTCCCAATTAAGAACATTCCTTGTGCTTATCACTTTTATTGAAGTACAATTTGAATGTAATAAAATATTCATTAAGTGTACATTTAATGAATTTTAACTAATATATTCAGTCATATAATCACTATCTCAATCAAGACACAAAATGCTCCCACCCCAGGAAAATTCCCTTTTATCTCTCTGCAATCTCCTCCTCCCACATCCTCACCCATGTCAACAATCACTGATCTATTTTCCACTACTATTATTTTGCCTTTTTTTAGAATTTCATAAGATTGGAAGTACATAGTAATTACTCTTTTGTGTCTTGACTTCTTTCACTTAACACAGTGCTTCTGGGATTCATCTGAATTGTTGCAAGTGTCAGTAGTCCATTTTATTTTATTGATGAGTAGTATTACATTATATGAATTGAATCACAAAATTATACAACAAATTGTTTATCTATTTACCATTGATGGGCATTTTGAGATATTTCCAGTTTGAGGCTATTATTTTTAAAGTTACCATGAACATTTATACACATCCTTTATATTGGAACTATTCGTATTTAATTATTCTAACATTTTTATTGAAGTGCATGTATATGCCATGTTAATTCATTTTAAATGTATAATTCAATGATTTTTACTAAATTTATAATTATGCAATCATTTCTGAAATAGAGTTTTAGAACATTTCCTTTACACTGAAAAGGTCTCTGGGGTCCATTTTTAGTCAATTCCCTTTCATACTTCTCACTTCAGCAATCTCTAATCTATTTTCTATGGAGTTGTGTTTTCTAGTCATTGCATATAAGTGGAACCATATAGGGCTGGGGCTGTAGCTCAGTGGTAGAGCACTTGCCTTGCATGTGTAAGACCCTGTGTTCGATCCCCAGCACCACATAAAAATAAACAAATAAAGATATTGTGTCCATCTACAACTAAATAAAAAATAAAGTGGAACCATATAATAAGTGGTCTTGTGCATCTCATTTCTTACACTCAGAATAATGATTTTGAGGTTCATCCATTCTGTGGCATGTATTATGAGTTCAGATGTTCTGTTGTATGTATATGCTACCTTATGTTTATCCAGTCACCAGTTAATAGACATTTGAATTGTTTCCACTTTTGGCCTTATGAAAAATAAGCATTTGTGAACAAATGTTTATGTGCACTTATATTTTCATTATGTTCCCCTTGGTTAGACACTTTGGATAGATAATTAAAAACAGAGGTGTTGTGTTATATAGTAATTTAGTGTTTAACTGCTTAAGAAAATGTCACTTTTCCAAAATAGTTGTACCATTTTACATTATATTATGTATTTTAATTTTTCCATATCCTTGTTAACACTTGTTATTGACTGTCTTTTTCATTACATCCATTCTATTGGATTTCAATTGGCATTTCATTGAGGTTTTAATTCATAATGCCCTAATGAGTAATATAGTTGGGCAGATTTTTCACATATTTATTTAAACCCGACATATATTTTCTTTGGTGAAATGTGTGTTCAAATCCTTTGCTAATTTTTTGATTATGTGGCTTTTTTATTATTTAGTTCTTGGAATATTCTGGATACTAAGCCCTTTTTCAAATAAATTATTTACAAATATTTTTCTCAATATGTAGTTTGTCTTTTTATTAAGTGGTGTCTTTTGAAGAAACTTTAATTTTGATAAAATGATTAATTTTTTTCTTATAGATTGTGATTTTGATGATTTCTAATAATTCTTTGCCTAACCTTAAGTCACAGATTTTTTCACATTTTCCTCAAAAAGCTTTATGTTTTTGTTTTTCATTTAGACCTATGATCTATCTTGAGTTAATGTTTGTGCATATTGTGAGATTAGGTATGAGGACTAAAATCCATCATTTTGCATATAGAGATCCAATTGTCCCAACACCATTTGTTTAGAACACATCTTTCCCTTCTTGAATTGCCTAGTCACCTTTGCTGAAAGTCAGTTGATCATAAATGTGAAAGTGGATTTCTGGACTCAATTCCATTCTATTGGTCTTTGTGTCTATCTCTGTGCCAGTACCAGATTGGTTTGGAATGCTGTTTTACAATAAGTTTTGAAATCAGGGATTTAAGCCTTCTAACTTTTTTCTTTTTCAAGTTGGGTTTGGAATATTATGGGTTTTTTGCATTTCCTTATAAATTTTAGGATTATTTTCCATGGGAATGGAGAGCTGTTGTGCTTTTAATAGAGATTGTATTGAATCTATTAATCAATTTGAAATAATTATTATCTTCTAATGCACAAACATGAAATATTTCTTCATTTATTTAGATCTTCTTTAATTTCTCTCAGCAATGTTTTATAGTTTTCTGTGTACAAATTTTACACTTCTTCCATTAAATCTATTCTGAAGTATTTTATTATTTTTATACTATTGTGAATAGAATTGCTTTCTTTATTTCATTTGCAGATTATTTATTGCTAATATTGGAAATGCAATTGATTTTTATATATTATTTTATCTTGTGATTTTGCTGAACCCATTTATTAGTTCAAATAGTCTTTTGATGTATTTCTTTGTATTTTCTAAATACAGAGTCATGTCATCTGAGAATAAAGACAATTTTACTTATTTCTTTGCAATTGGCTACATTTTTTTCCTTTTCTGATTGCATTAGCTATCACTTTTCATTGTGACTTTCTGTACATCTTTATTCTTTAGCACATAAAACTAAAAATTAATATTACATAAAATATAAGATAATACATATTATAGCTCAACTCTGATATATTAATCTATTCATTTTTCTCTTATAATTTGAATTTATACTAAATACATATCAGACTATCTTTTTATGATAGCTGATTTGAAATTAGGTTTATGTTCTGAAACTTATGTGTTTCAGAGATACAATGAGCAGTGAAAATTTACCTCCAATAATGCACAGTTTAGAGGTTCTTCATTTGGGCTACAATGGAATTTGTAACTTAATCCAGCTACAACTTAACAGACTAAGAAATTTAAAATTCCTCTTTCTACAGGGTAAGTAGAAACACTTAATATCAAAATGTTTTAAATCAACTTGATCTCATCTTGTTTTGATAAGTAAATTCCAGTATCAACATTTATTTAAATATTTATTAGCAAAAATATTTTAATAATCACACATGGATTTTTCTTTGGTTATCTGCAGATTTTCAAAACCATTTTTTGAAGGAAAATAGAATATTCTGGGGCTACATACAGTATTACATCATAATTTACTTTTATATAATATTCTATTTAAAAAACAATATAAAGTAACCATTAACACAAATATTTCCTAAGTCAAAATTGTTTCATAAGTACCATGAAAGTACTGTATTATTGTAATTATACATAACAGAGATCCTCAATCTGAGGTAATTTAAGATCTACTTGAGGAGATGTACTCAGACAAAGATGAATTAAGTTTTAACTATGTGTTACTAAGTAAGTGCAATAGAAGTTCAGAGAAGGAGAAACTGAAAGATTAACTCCTCTACAATTTTGATTATAAATGATCATTTTTGAGAGCTTTGCAAGGGAGGAAGAAAAGAGTCACAGGACACAATTGCAATGTCTGTGGGCCAACACTTAAAAAGGGACCAGCCTGATATGAGTTATTTGTTTTATTTAGTTTTTTAAGTAAGCCTCATCACTTTATAGTATCTTTTTTAATTTTGTGGAATAGTGAAGAATTGAAGTTAAAAATACTGAGCAGGACCAAACTAAGGAAAGCCAGACAGAGAAATTTAGACAGAATATAGTCAACAATAGATAGGAATTGTAAATTTTTTAGAAAAGTGGCATTAAAAAACCCATGGAGTTTGGAACATTATCTAACAATAATTATTTAACATCACACAAAATTCATTATGAGACATGGAAAGAAATTTGGATAGTTACTTTTTTTCAGGAAGACAGGTTTTTCAGACTATATTCTAAAAACTTAATGTATTTTTTTTTTTTTTTTTGCCTATCAAAGGTATTTTTGATTTGGGATCGAGAATATGGAGACTTAACCTTAAAGAGGAAAAAAAAAAAAGGAAAAAAATCAAGAAATTGACCATAATAATGACAGACCTTTTAAAAGATACATTGACATAGCAAAAAGTGGAAAACCTAACCATAGAAGGTCTATTTTAATCTAATAATGTAAAGGGGGAATTGTGCAGTTGCCATGGTTAGCATGGCAAATCCAAGTGGGACAGTTCTATATAAGGAGTGAGACAACATACTCTGACAATGATAGCTGCCACTTATGGAGTCATTGGGCAAAATGTTTGTCTACATATCTCATTTAATATTCAACTTAAAAAGACGAAATATTAGGTCAAAATGACTAATTAGATATATAAGGAGATCAAAAGAATCCAAGATATTTTCATAATTTCATTGCAAAATTGCATAATTGCATTTCATAATGGCAAAAGGACATACTAAAGCTATCTAATGTCATTTTGAGGAAGTTGCTATCTGGGGTTAGAGAAAAATCAGTTTGTAAACCTGTTGAGACATAAAAATGAAAATTACCTTTTTAAGTCATTTGATAAAAACATTTAAATGAGTCAGGCATGGTGGTGCGCAACTATAACCAGCAGCTTGGGAGGCTGAGCAGGAGGATCTCGAGTTCAAAGCCATCCTCAGTAAAAGCGAGGCACTAAACAATTCAGTGAGACCCTATCTCTAAATAAAATACAAAATAGGGCTGGGGATGTGACTCAGTGGTCACATGCCCCCGAGTTCAATACCTGGTACCCCCCTCAAAAAATATAGAGAAGAAGGTAGATAACTTTTAAAATTTGGGCTCACTTCATATATCATGACTTGTCTTTTTTTAGGGAATGAAATCAGTCAAGTTGAAGGGCTAGACAACTTAGCAGTCCTTCAGGAATTGGTGGTAGACCATAACCGCATCAGAGCATTTAATGACAGTGCTTTTGCCAAACCAAGTTCTCTCTTGGCACTTCATCTGGAGGAAAATAGACTACGAGAGCTGAGCAAATTGCAACCTTTGGTAAAACTAGAGAAACTCTTCCTAGGATATAATAAAATCCAGGTAACATTTTTGTTGTTGTTGTTGTATTGAGATTTATAAGCTTTAATTCCTCTAAACACTAAACATAAAGCTTCCAAACATACCAATGAAATTTTTGCTAGTATGTAAATGTTATTTATCATTTATATACATGTATATTTTGAGGCATATAATTTGTGATGTAGACATGTCCACCCTACATCTAGACTTATAAACTGGGCAAACCCATATGCATCCACCCATTGATAACTGTTGGCTCTAAATGTTCTCAGGCTTGTCTCATCAGTCCTCTCCTAGACTTATCATTTGTTCCTTGACTACTATTGATTCAGCTGGGTTTTGAGTCTCAATTTCAGACTTCCTCTTGCTCATAAAATTTGGCATACTTGTTCTATATGTATTTTGATTCAACTCCTTATAATGACTTTGATATTCCAACTCTTCCCACTCAAGTCTTCCTTACACAGATTCCCTTTAGTTTTACTTATTTAGGCCACTTCTACTTTTAGGCCACAGAGTCTGCTTAGACTCTCTCCTGAGATACTGTACTAATAGAGAGCTGAATACATTATCTTATGCAGTCCTTATATTTTTCTTAGCATTTCGGTAATGTTCTGTTAGCTTCTTTTCACTCTTCTATTTCTGTCCATACTTCTAAGACGGCCTCAACAACAAACTGAACTCTGGAGTACTTCTCTAGGTCTGGGGAAAAAAATTATATTGTTTACATCTTTATCAGTATATAGCATATACATGGTACAGAGTAGATGCTTGATAAATATTTATGGTCTTCTTTGATATAGTTCATGAAGCCTTTTCTGGGTGATATAAAAGCTCTCTCCCAAGATTAGAAGGAAATCATAAGCAGTGCCCCTTTCTACATAGCAAGTAGAGAATGTACATACAGAGAAAAACAATATACAACTAATTTACCCAGATTCAAACATTCATCTGTGAAAAGCCTACCAAACTGGTGATGATTCTTCCAAAGATTTACTTAGAAGAAATCTAAATTTGGAAAATTGCTATTTTATTGGAAATATTTCCAGTGATAACAACTGGGTTAAGCATAGGACTGAAAAATTGGACTTATAGCCAGGAGTGTAACTCAGTGGAAGAATATGTATTTAGCATGTGCAAGACCTTTGGTTTGGTCCCCAGCATGAAAGAGAGACGGACAGACAGAGACAAAGAAGAGAGAGGGGAGAAAGAAAAAGATCTTATATGGCATCAGGCTTTACTAATAATTTCAAGAATACTATAGGAACATTCCAATGCTTTGCAGATCCTTTATTCCCACATCATACACATTAACTACACTAAAAGATGAGGTCTGAAAGTCAGATTCTGTGAAGTAATCTCATATAGCAAGGGAGTGTTTCATTTATGAAACATTTCCATTTTATAACTTGAGCTTATGTGACATTATATAGGGAGCTACCTTATAATTCTAAGGACTCCAGATATATTTACTGTAAACAGTCCTTAGCCAGGCAGATCAGCTAAGAGAATACTATAAAGACCTTCTTCCCAACAAATATCATTGTTCTGTTTGGCAGGATGTCCAGTTACCAGCATTCTTACAAGATTATACCCGGTAATTGGGTTTTCCCCAGGAGTGTCCCCCTACCTCACCAGCCCCCTGGTTCCTCTTAGGGGGCTGAATAGACAGGTCAGCTAGTATGGCAACTTTCTCCTTGGCAACTTAAACAGAGTAATGCTTAGTCAGGCTTACTATCAAATCTAATAAAATTAAATGATAAACTATATTTTAAATCATGGGGAATGACATATTTATCATTGAATGAAAGGATGAGTTTTATTGATTATTTAATGATATCAGCCCTTATTTTCATCCTTGAAATGGTATTTTCATTGGTTTAGATTGATCATTTTGCCATTAAACTTATTCTAACCATTAATATTATAGTACCTTAATGTGACCATACATTTAGCTAGGAGGAAAAAAAAAACAAACCCAGAGGAATACAAGGGCAAGTTGGAGATTCTTTTGAAGTTTTAAAACCATGTTCTTCAAAAATTTTTAACTTTCATTTCAAATTTTTTGAGGGGAGAATTTTGTCTCTAGATTTATACTGACTTGGACAAGCTGATACCAACATTAATTTCCACTAAACTGTTAGAGTACAACCTTTGGATTGGTGATGATTCATAGAATAAGAGGGGAAAAGCTCATAAAAATTAGCAGAACAATAATACTTCATGTGAAAGTATATGCAGTCCCTAATTTGATCTAATAGATTCTGGTGTGAAGGTTTTGACCTAGCCTTAGAATAAATTAGCCCTAGAATAAATTATTCAATGTCCACTAATGTAAATTTGGAAAATTGTGGCCTATAGTCTTGCTTATAAGAATCACAGAAACACAAATGAAGATGAGTTCAACTCTATAGTCCCATTTGATTCCTGCGTCTGAATGATTGCTCTATCATGCATCCAACTACTTTGTCTACTTTTAAACATCTGGATAATAACCTGAAGCCATAAGTAACACCAGAAAAACAATCTTTGGTATTTCTTGACCTAAATGAAAGCCCCAATCCATACCTTTACTGTGACTGTTTTAAGTTCTTATCCTGATAATGTACTCAAAAGCTAATAACCACTGATGTGCTGGTGATTAATGTATAACTTTTAGAAGAAAAAGCCCTAATTAGTAGCATTTGCAAATTTCCCCATGGTATAATTTCCTCTACCATGGTCAATTGCAAGCTAAAACACCATCCTGTAAAATTCCTGAAAATATACCAATCAACTTTTATAAGCCAGTAAAAGTTAACTCCAGCACAGTACTGTAAAAAATGGCCTGTATAAAAAATGGAAAGCTCTCTTTCTGTAATTATGGACATATTAGTTTGCTTGTTATCTCTTTAAAATTTTATGCCACAATTATCCTCTAAAAATTTAACATACTGTTCTTGCATTAATATATTTCATGAGAAATGAATATTTCAATTAGGGATAGTTCACTAATAAGTACTGCTGTACTTTGAAAAAATAATGTACAGACTTCTCATGTGTTTCTGACTTCTAATCAGACTTGGATGACATAGATAGGAACTGCCTGTGGATAAAAAGGCACAATATCTATAGATCACTAGATGTTGAGTGTTTTCAAAGCCCCCCTTTATGATGTCTCCAAAATCAAAATAATTTTTAAAAGATCAGTCATTTTAAAAATCAAATTCCACTTCCAAGTGAACTAAAATAGGTCTAAATATAGATGAATTGGCTGTATGTATCCACTTGTAATTCCAAATATAAATTTAGGTATATCAATAACTTCATTGTATTAATGTGAACTAGTAAAAATCTTAGGTGAAGTTTGATGGTTAAATTTTGGAAATAGCAACAAATGTAGTCCACTTGATTGTTCCTTTGTTGTTAAGATTATATTTAAATGTGTATCTTTGATATTGTTTTTTTTTTTTTTACTGTATTCACCTTTTTCCACACTTCTGGATTAATACTCTGGAGGAATTAGCTAAATATAATCTAAACCATAGAATAAATTATAACTCTTCTGAAAAACTATTTGGTCTTTTCTTGTAAGCACTGCTTACATTTTCCATGTTAAACTAATACTATCTCTTTCAATCATATATTTTGAATCTACAGTACATGGATCTGCCTTTATTCAACATGCAAAAAATTGTCACTCAGGCTCACTTCATAGGGTTTAATTATGAGCTGCCTGCAATCCAGAATTTACATAAAGTAAGTCCATATTTTAAAATTTGGGGTCTAATCAAATAATTTGGTTGATTTTTTTAACAGGATATCACAGAACTAGAAAAACTTGATGTCATCTCTACTCTCAGGGAGCTTACAGTTTATGGCAATCCAGTGAGTATGTTACCTTTCTAATTTATTAATTATGTATATAATTTATTTTTTGAGAAAGACTTTATAATATTAATTTTATCTGCATAGCCAGTTAATTTATTGATTAATGTAAAAAAAACTATTGGTCCAGCACAATTTATTGAATAGTGTCATCTACCTGATTACAGGGAAAACTGCTACTATCTTATATAAGAAGGTCTGTTTCAGGGTTCTACATTGTATTCATTTGCCTGTTTGGTGTTGTGCTAGTATTTTTATGTTGTCTTAATTACTAACATTTTATATTGTCTTAATGTCTGTTAGAGTAAGAGATTCCAAATATTCTTCTATTCTATCTCCTTCTCTTTCTCCTTATGTGTTTCTCTTTCTTTACTGCCTTAGTGATTCTTGGCCCATTAAAATTTCTTATGATTTTTGGACAAACTTCTCAAATTATATGAAAATTTTGTTAGTATTTTAATTGGAATTGAATTCATTTCTAAATTAATTTTGAGGGAAATTTGCCACCTTTCTTGTTGGAGTCTTCAAGAGGATCCAATAAGTACTACCTTTGTTTACCTAATATCTGAACAAACTGGAAAAAATGACAGTGAAGAAATGAAAATATCTTCTTAGCTTAGTGGTCTGGATATGGTATAAAAGAACTGATGGCAAGATTCTGTGAGACTGAAGAAAGGCAAACAGATCTCGTATTACATGGAGTGTAATTTATTTGGGACTTTCTGGCAAGTATGGTGAAGGACGCAGCAAGACCACTGGATCTCTGTGATTTGGGTCAGAGGGGAAGGGTTTACATAATAGTACAACAGTGACTTTCATCTGAGCCAAATGTCCTGATCTATCTCAAGCTAATATCAAAAATATAAGGCACATTCCTGGCACTGTAAAGCCCCATATAACCCTCTAAAGTTTATTGTTCATTTAGAGTATGCTGGGAAATTATTTGGGGAAAACATAACAGGGTTACATAGGGATACTCACAGAAGTCTCAAGATGGTTGCATTCAGTAAAGCAGGATCCCTTCAGTGAGAAAGCCAAATAGGCATGCTATCTAATCCCAGAAATAGGCAATCCTGATCACTCAGAAGCAGAAAATACTAGACTGAGACTTCTCTACGTGGGAGGACACATTCTCCCAGCAATAAACTCTTTCCCAAGAAGAAAGGAGGATCCAAGAATGCTCAGTTCACTCTTCCCAGATCTACCAGTTAAGTCACTCTGCTTTTACTAGTGGAGAGGGAGTGAAGAGGTTGAAAAAGCTACATCAAGGAGCTATAGTACTTCTACCAAGAAGAAAACATTCAAGGGACTAGGGTTGTGGCCCAGCAGTAGAGCGCTCGCCTAGCATGTTCAAGGCCCTAGATTCAATCCTCAGCACCACATACAAATACATAAAATAAAGGTATTGAGTCCAACTACAACTAAAAAAATAAATATTTAAAAAACAAAAAAGAAAAACAGTCAATAAGCAGTCTCCACTAACACAGCATTCAGCTTTTTCACTCATAAAACACATGTATCTTCCTTTTGTTTGTTTGTTTTTTGTCTTTCAATTAAGATTCATAATTATCTCCTTAAAGATTTTAATCATTTTTGGCTAGATTTATTCTGTTGTTTTAATTTCTATTTTAAATGGTACCTTTTTGTATTTTTATATTTTTGGGGTTGTAGAAGTAAAGAAATTCTGGGTTTTGTATATTTCTCTTTGTCTAGGAAACTTGGTGAACCATTTTTCTAGTTCTAATGGTTTGTAAAAATTCTTTGTAAAAATTTACCTAAATTTTTACGTATTGTTATCATAGAACTCATGAATTTTTAAAGTCTCCCCTATGTATTTTTGTCACCCTTTTTATATTTAAAATTGTCAATTTTTGGTTTTTGTTATTATTGATAAATCTTGGTAATGGTTTGTCTACTGAGTCATTTACTTCAAAGAATAAGATTTTGGTTTTTAAGTCTATTATTTCTTTGCTGTTTCACTAATTTCTACCCTTTTTTTTCTTTTAGTTTTTTGAAATTTTCTTTTCAAAAAAATTCTTAAATAGGATACCTAGCTCAATAATTTTCAATACTTCTTCTGAATCAATAAATTTTAGGTTACAAAGTACAGCAACATTCTAAAAGTTTTGATTTGTAGTTTTTTTAATATTTATTTTTTAGTTGTAGTTGGACACAATATCTTTATTTTACTTATTTATTTTTATGTGGTGCTGAGGATTGAACCCAGGGCTTCGCACATGCTAGGCGAGCACTCTACTGCTGAGCCACAATTCCAGCCCTAGTTTTTTAACTATTTTTTATTCTTAAAATCATCTGTTTTCCAAAAGATTGCTTATTTAATTTGTTGTGCATGTCTTTGTATTCATTTCAAATAAATAGTGTGGTTTTAGTTATCACTTTGTCATTTATTTCTGATGTTCTTTTACTTCAATCAAAGGAAATATTCTATATTTTGGTACTTATGATACTTGGTATTGTGGCCTTGAATGTGGTCAGTTGTTTGGTGTGTTTGTATGTGTTTTAAATCAATCACATATGTTAGAGATATTTCTCCATTAGTGTATATGTATCTACCATCTTCTTTTAAAATAGTTAATTACAGTGATATGGTAAGAGTAGGATATACATGCAGATGAAAAGGGAAAGTCTGGAGGAATCTACATGCAGACTTCCTCATGCTCATGCCTGTGAGAAGATTACATGGAACAGAATTTTGTTGGAAACTGATTACATAATCACATAGGGACCCTCTCCTAATCATGTGCCAAAATTCCAGATTCTCAGAAGGGAAGCAGGTTGAGTACAAATCATATTGCACAGTGAACTACCCTTATCAGTTAAGGAATGGTGGGAACACTCCAAGTACCAAATACCAGGCAAGAGCCATCTATCTGTACAAGCACACCATTCTAAAGTTCAGGCCTACTAAATTTAACACTTTCTACATACCCTCTTGGGCATGTTCATAATTTTTTTTTTTTTTTTTTTTTTGGTGAGGGGAGTAGTTTGACACTAGGAAGAGTTGGTGCATATGGACCACATATAGATATGTACTAAATTAAATAGGATAGTTCCTTTTGGAAAATATCATGTAAGCTCCAGAACTTTCAACAAACTTTCATAATGTAATCCTGTCCAAAAATTAAGATTGCCTGTAATTAATAACAGTACTTTACAAGTATAGCCTTAGTAATAGCCTTAGTTTTTTTCTAAAAAAAATTCTTACCTGCATTTAGCATGATATGAAATTAAAAGGGGCTCATATGTATAGTATCTAATACTATAAATTGTTACCCATCATCTTTGCTGTCTTTGTTAAACTGCCTTCTTTTAAAGGTTAATATTTGAAGTAAAAGTGATTTTAGTAATAAATTGTTATGTTTAACTTTCTTTAGATTTGTAGAAAAATGCTACATCGTCATGTGCTCATATTTCGACTGCCTAACTTACAGATGTTAGATGGAATTCCTGTAAATTCAGAAGATAGAGTAAAAGCTGAATTTCACTTCTCTGAACTACAAGCAAAGAAAAATATGGTAATTATATTATTGATACTTTTCCTTTTGAAACATATATATTATTAGTAAATGAACATTATATCTTATACATTGTGACTTAAAATGTTTAAATCTATGTTTTTATAGATTATTATAGTATCTATTTTGTGATAACTACCTTTTTCTATTAATGTACCTTGACAAATTATTTAGTATCTATGTGCTTAATATATCAGATTATGCTTGAAGGTAAGAAATTATAACAACATTATTTCTTATGAAAAGAAACTAACAATAAAATTGTTTCCACTTAGGCAGAGAGGAAGAGAAGGAATGAGTTCTCACCTCAACTCTGTATCATACAGTTCACATAACAATGGAGATATGTGTCTCTTTTCTTGTATGCTGGCAGAATTACTGGGCCTTTTACCTGTGGGCCCTAAAATGAATTGGCTATGGTAGGAAAGAGAGACAGAAGAAACCACAAAAACATATCATTAGGAAATTCTATCACTGACCACCCCTTCTCTTAATGACTTTGCCCTAATGACTAAATTTAACACAGAAAATCAATGGCTTTTGAACAAGACCAAACATTATTAGAGGTGAGCCTTTGTAAAATGTGAGGAAGAAGAGACTGGGGGAGATAGGGAAACCAGTTGAGATTTTTAAGAATAATCCGAGAGAGAGATTGCAAAGACCTGGATGGATGTGGATGAAGAATATAAGTGAGCCTCTATGTAAGTGAAAACCAGAGACCAAGGACATTAAAAAGTTAAGGAACAGAGGTTATTTTTAAAAAGGCATCTTGCAGAGGAAAGAGATATTTACTGTAGAAGCCCTCCTAATTGGCTTTCACTTAACTCACTAGAAAGTCTGGATAAAAAGCAAGCACACACACACACTATTAGTATATAATGTCAAATTAGGTATGGAAGAAAAATTATAAAATAAAGGAGAAAATTATTAAAATTTAGAGAAAATATATGGGGAAATTATTTTTTAAAATCTAGACAAATTCTTATATTCAAATTTTCCTCACATATCTTTAAATTCTTGTTATTTTAAAGAAACCCAAACTGAAAATTGTAGGAAAAACCTTAAAGGGTATGTTTTATCCAAGAAAAATCAGATAAAATACCAATCAAAAGACCCTTGCTTACAGAAAAGAACTTGCCCCTTTATCAGAAGATTGGTGAATGCATGTAATTTTATGTTATAAATGCATGCAATTTTATGTTATAAATTTTTTAAAAGATATTTACTATATATTTTTATGACTTCCTGACTTTTTTATTAATCCTAACTTTTCTGATTAATATTGACTTTAATTAACAAAGGAGTTTCTACTATAGGTCAAAGTATCCACAGAGACTTGTGAAACAAAGTTGTTTAATGTTAATAAAAGTTATTAATATTAATAAAAATGATTTGTGGATATCTACATTTTTTCTAAAATATATGTCTTATAAAAAATCTTAGCCATCAATCTGTATGATGTAGATAAAGAAAAGCACTACATGTCTCATGTACTCAAATTCTTGTCACAGGCCAGTCTTTCAAAAGAGAAAAAAAAAAAAGATGAAATAAAATATAGTTCAGTAATTGAAGGTTTCTTTCCCTTTCTTGATTTTATATTCCTGGAGCAAGTCACTTCTTGAAAATTGTATGCCTCAGGAATTAGTTTTTTATTCCAAATGCAATAAATTATCACAAATTTTGTGCCTTAAAACAATAAAAATTTATTATATTACAGTTCTGGAGATTAGACATCTGAAAAAAGCATTGGCTAGGCAGCATTCCTTCTGGAAGTTCCAGGAGAGAACTTGTTCTTTGCTATTACCAGTTTCCAGAGACTATCTACATCCCTTGGCTACTGGCTTCTTCCAGCAATGTATCACTTAGACCGCATGTTTCCATCATCACATCTCTTCTCTATCAGATCTTTCTGTCTCCCTTCATCTAGATACTCACAGTAATCTCCTCATGTCAAAATCCTTAACCTTATCACACCTGCAAATTCGTCTGCTATGTAAAGTAAAATATTCACACGTTTTGGAGATTAGGATATTGAACATCTCTGGGAGAGAGAAATTATTCTATCATACCTCATGTAAGGGCTCTATTGAGAAACCTATAAAAATTATCATATTAAAATTTATAGATTCTATTTTAAAGTAATGTTAAAAAATCATTTAAAACATATTTAAAGATCCCAATTTCCCTAGGTAATTTTTAAAAATTGTTTTCATATAGCAGAATAAAGTACATTAACTTAAATTTCAGTCAATGATGAATATTTCATTGAAAAGTTTATTTATTGTCCATTTTTTTCTATATCTTACATAGTGAACCCAGATTTTTCTCAATGCTCTTCTATGATGTAATCTTAGTCTATATTCTTGCCATTTGAATCAGTGCTCCATAAAAGAATTTAACTATCTTTCCACTTAGTTTTTCTATATGTAAACATTTTATTTTAAATTTTGTTTTTGGTTCATCAATACATGGTTAGTAAAACAAAGGGTGTATTTGAAGTCTTTATTCTGGAGATATATATTTTGATTCAACAGTAATTCTCATTTTCATGGCAAAAACAAAATTGAGCCATTATCAGTTCAGTCTAATATACTAATCTTTGTGACTGCTATTCTTGCTTTTAAACACCAGAAAAAGGAGAAATGAACTCTAAAAGCTGTCTTTTAAACCAAAACATTTTGAAATTAGTTTTCTAATTCCTAATAGAATGCTGTTAAATTTTAGCATTCTAGATTAGTGATAGGAAGTAACTCCCACAAAGGAATAAGGGAATTTGAGACTGGCCAGCTTTAGTAAAAACCATTCATTTCAAAGCTGTCTTCTTGGTAACAAGAAAGTATGAAGTAAATCAGTAATTTTACACAAATGGCAAAGGCCTATGTCTCTAAATAGGTTCAATAATATGTTCAGAATTCATATCTTTAAAAGTATAAACAATTCATAGTATTAAGGACATCAGAGGGGTCATAAATTTCTAGGGACAGCAAGAGTTTCCCTCTCAAAATAACTTTTCTTCTCCATTTGCTGATTCCTGAAATTCTTAAAAGTCTCTTAATCCTTGATGGTTTACATTGTAAATACTATTTAAAGCTTTACCACTTTCATTATAATTATTGTAATTTGCTTTTCTTAGTCCCTATTTTATTAACTTGGTTTTGAAAAACTAAGTACCTGCAAGGCATCTGATGAGGTAATATGAAAAGGAAGAAACATTACAAATGGAGGAGTCTTAATTCTAATTTTCTTAATTCTGCACTTACCTTATTAATACACTTTGAAAAGAGGAAGTGCCATGAAGCACCAGCTTCTAGTGCTGAGTGCAAAAGCAGTCTGAAGAAACAGAACATAAGGTTAATCACCCAGAGAGCTCTGTGGATTCTACAGGTTTTAGTTAGTACCAGTTCTGTGTTTAGGCAACCATGTTAACTGCTGACTAAGAAAAATTTGATTGTCATGTGAGGTTTGTGGTGAAGACTAAACCTGTTGATCTAAGATTTGGAGGTAAGATGTTTTTAATTGTTTTGTTTTATTATGTAGTTTACTCCTGTTACCAACTCTCCTATGGATGGTGGATCATTCTGCCCAATGAAAGCATCTCCCATTAAAATAACAAATGTAATTCTGCCTGGTGGATTTAGCCATTACTTGGGACCCGACTTCACTTTAACTCCTGAAGTTGAAGGTATTTTGACAAGAGTTTCAGAGAGTGTAAACAAAACACTTCATTTGAAATGAAAATCTCACTTTAATCTTAATATTCCTTAAAATTGGGTGTTTTTAATTTATATTTCTTAAAATTGTATGTTCAAGTTTTCTGTGGCCATTCTGATTTCAGAGACTATGGTAGTTTTTGTTCTACTCAACTACTAAACTAGCTAAACATTTGCTCTCTCACAGTGTAAACTTTGTGATACTTGCCCTATTATTTCCTGACTTTTTCCAAAACTTTAATTTTCTTTATATTGAAGCTATCTTAGGATCATAGTTCATTAGTAAATCCTGTTAACTGTAGAAATCAGAAAATTTTTAATATAACAACAGAGCTGTGCACAGTAACACATGCCTGTAATCCCAGCAATGAGGTAGGCTAGGTAAGGCAAGAGAATCACAAGTTTGGAAGCCATCTTGGGTAACTTAGTGAGACTTTGTCTCAAAGCATAAAAAAAGGGCTGGGGATGTGGTTCAGTGGTAGAGTGTCCCTGAATTCGATTCCTAGTACCATAATAAATAAATAATAACAACAACAGAATCTTTGGGAATAGAGGATATCTTAGAAAGAGGTCATATTTTTTCACTAAAACCACTGGTAAATTTACGAAGCAATTAGGGAAGAGTTTCAAGAGGTAGAGCTTTAAAGGAGGGAATATACTAAAAGAACAGGACAAGGAAATGATTTTATTATACACATTTTAATTCAGATTTAGAACAAACCTGTTCCAGAATTCCAGATCTTAAACTGGCTATCTATTATTTCAGCAAAATTGGGGATAGCTAGTCTTTCTTCAGGGCTCACCACTTCCATTCCTTTTAACTTTCCCTTGTCCTTACACCACTGTTAGATAATAAAACTCAACATCACAACAATTACAAAATTATCTTAAAAGCCTACTATATAAAAGTAGGCAATTACTCAATATGGTTACAGTTTTAAAGTAAACACAATTAAAAGACACCTAGATAATTTATTGTTAGATTTATCTTATTTTTCATACTTCCACATATTTTATGACTTTTCAGTTTTAGTAAAAATGAGAACTGTTTTTGTCCAGTAGGTAGAACTATACACAAAATTGGGCACACTAAATTGTTTTTAGCTTCCCTAACAGTGTACTATCATTTTCAGGAATGTCTTTTCCCTATTAGTTCAATCCTCAATTCATCTTCATAACTTCCTTTTCATATATCCTTCTTCAAGATTTGTTAGTATTTCGTGGAAAAGTCGTTAATTTCTTTCCTTTTTTTTTTTTTTTGTTCATTTTGGTGTCCTAAGTTGTATTTTGAAAAGTATAGTTACTTCATCTGTACATTTATTACAGCATGCAGATCTGGATATTTGTATTTTAAAAAAATTACCCAGAAAGGATCAAATTGATCCACTAACTCACAAAAATTTAAGCCACATTAAGTGCTATATGCCAATTTTATATTTTTATTTTAAATGTTTAATTCATACTATAAAACATGTACAACATATTTTCGTCTTACCCACATCCAAACCTTATTACTTAATGTTTTTCATTGTTTCATAATTTTAACTGTCTGAATTCCTACAAATTCAGACAAAAAAGACAAGAATACAGGGATCCTGACAAGTAATCCTCGGAGCATCCATGCAGAAATAGCTTTTCGGCAACTTAGAGGGATAAATCTCTCTCCTAATCTTCTGTCACATCCTAATATTGCATCTCCAACTGCACAAATGTACCAGAGCAACCAAAATGAGGGAAGGTAAGCTATTATTTTTTAACGTTTTTATTAGTAGTTGATGGACCTTTATTTTATTTATTTATATGCGGTGCTAAGACTCAAACCCAGTGCCTCACACATGCTAGGTAAGTGCTCTACCACTGAGCCACAACCCTAGCCCCAAGCTATTCTATTTTAATACCATCATTTTTCACCATTTTAAAAAAATTCTCCATATTTGCCAGTCATGTATAGAAGTGTAGTAAATATGTTGTGTATTATTATTTATGTACACTGATAGCTGAGAAAAGTTATCAACATAGGGCTTCTTTTCACCCATTCACCAAACCTTTCCCAAAGTTCAGAGTATTCACATCATAATTCAAAAGATTCGAAATGACAATCAGGGTTGAATAGTCCTCAAGAAATTCCAAGTGCTCACCAGGGAGGTAACACTGAAATAATTACCTGGGAACTACTTTTAATTGTATTCTTTCTCCACTCTACTCACTGAATTTGGAAAGTAGTTTACTTAAATTTTGAACAGCAGATAAATTCAATTATGCAACTGTGAGGGTAAAGAATTCTCTAAATTCTTCAAAGCTTTTTTTCAAGTTCCCACTTATTACCCTTTCTAGGCTGGACCCAGCCATACAGCCAGCTCAATCCTAAGAACATTGTTAATTCTCATTCAGAGTCCAAACTTCCCTGCCTGTATTTCTCAGTTGCCTGCCCCCAGATATTTTGTAGTTATACCTTCACTCTCCAATAGCAGATCTAGTATAGGCATGGCTCTTTCTGCATTGACTCTCCTGCTAGAATCAGTTGTGTTTCAGTGAATTCTCAGGATAACCTATTTTTCAAAAATAGAATCATTTTCTCCTTTATATTATTTTTATGAAATTGCATGCATATAAAATGTAGAAATTATGGGGTTGGGGTTGTGGCTCAATGGTAAAGTACTCGCCTAGCATCCATGAGGCACTGGGTTCAATCCACAGCACCACATAGAAATAAAATAAAAATATTGTTCCCACCTAAAAAAAAAACTAAAAAATAAATATTTTTAAATGTAGAAATTATTTACTGTACAATTACCTTAACTACCTCATTAAGATAATAAGTTACCATTATTTGACTTATAAATATCCTACTTCTTACAGAATTCCTGGGAGCACCTTTTCAAGATCAAATCGAATGTAACTGCCTACACAAATGAACATATGCCAGGAAACCTATTCCTTTTGGGAGTTGTGCAAAAGCTAGCAGACAGTAGTCAGTGAAAAAAAAAAAAAAATAAGAGAATCATGTTACTCATGTTACTGAAGCACTTCAGTGCCAACTGAAGATGATCTATCACTCCTGATGAATTTGATTTAATATCACCTCTCTTAAACTTTCTTTATGGTTATCTTAATTATTTGGATTTCTATATTATAAAAATCATGAACTGTTAATAGCATTCAATAATTTGAAAAAAATGAAAGTCACATAAAACAAAATCCAGAGAATCAAATGCCTAGTTCTGATATTCAATTATTGTCTGTCATCTGAAATTATTAGGAAAAGGTAATTTTAGGAAATAAGCACACTTTCATTCATAGCATATTCATTTGAAATTACTAAACTAAAGCATACATTGCTTACCAAACACAACCATTGCTAAAGCTAGTTGTTTGTTACAGATTTTTAGGATTATACCTGGGAGAAAAAACAAAAAACAACAAAATCTCTAAAACCAGATCTTCCCTCAAACTTGTTTAGAGATGCAAATAGTAAACATCAATACTGGTTCCTCAGAATGAAAGAGTCTTTTTTTTTTTTTTTTTTGGTACAAATTGAATTGTGTCTACAGGGAAACAATTTTCAAGTAGTTTGTCTGAAAACATACGTTCAAACTGAGTGAACAGTTCTGATCTTTAATAATTATATTTCACTGGAAAGAATTTTTTCCTAACCTATTACATACCTAAAATATCATAAATCAATTAAATATGGTTTTAATTTCTTAAGTACAGTTCTTTAAGTTGGTGACCAAATTATATTTTGATATAAAAGGGCTCCATGATTCAGAAAGTATCCTATTTTTAAAGTATTGGTTCAATATATATATTTCATATAGTTTTCATGATATTTCTTTTAATAAAAATAAATTGTTTTTTCCAAAATGTTTATACTTTAATAAATCTATCTGGCAATAATTTCAAAGAAATTTTGCAAAGATAGCGTTCCAATGTATATGCAGTGATTTTGTATTTTTCTTCCTCAACTGTTGTATGTTTGTAATTTAATCATGTAATATTTAAAATTTCAAACCTAATTATAGATTGATTTTGCCCTTCTTAATGTGTGGTTTTTAAATAACTATTACACAATGGAAATAAGGTCCTTTGTTTAAAAAATAACTATGCAATTCTTAAGATGTCCAGAAGATGTCTTTGTTGCCCTTTAGTTTTGCAACTGCTTTTATTACAATACTGTGACAATGTCTACACTATTACTAAGCTGGTATCATTTGCTTTTTCTTTCATGATTATATATAATGAAATGCTGAATATATGTCATTTTAATAACAAAAGTATCTTTAAATATGTAAGTGGAAAAGTAAATATAATAAGTTTTCACTGGAGAAAAGTGTTATAGAAAAGTAGGAAGCAGAAAAAAATATACCACATACAGTTAACATTTTTGCACATTTTTAACCATTTTTCCTATGGATTTTTAAATTATATTTGAGATTTTTCATTTGAATTGAAAGTTAGTTCACATCGCTAAATTGAGATATTTTGTAGTTCTTATAAATTTTTAATTACATCTGAATTGCTTCTTGAAAATAATTTTAATACATAATTTGATAGCAACACTAATAACAAACACATATTTAGGCATTGGTAGGTATTACACCAAATATAACTATAGACCCAACCTTTAAGAACCTTTTAATATAAATACACAATTAAGTATTTTCATATAAAAGTACTGAATGGGTGATTGTTTACATGATTTGGCATAGCAGTTTTGAATTTTTTCTGTTACAACAGCAGATGTTATTAACATGGTATACAACTCCCCTGGAAATACCTAGATAGGCTAAGCTATTAGTATACACAATTCATAAGGCAAAGCTATACCTCTATTCCATCCCTATTCAACAAAACAAATTAAAATGTTATTGAATGTAAGTGATTTTTATAGGAGTGATTTTTAAATCTGCTCTAAGTGATTTTAAGTAAATAATTCACAAACTGAAATTTAAGTTATAGTTACAAATTATACCAAACAACTGATTGCAAAAGTGTTATAAATTTACAAACCACTAACCCACATTTTAAGTGATTTATAATAATACTATGAAATAAGTATGACATGTACTATCTTCACTTACATAGAAACTGTGACTATAGATACATATCACACCTAGTTCTACATTTTTTTCAATTCCAAATTCATTCTTTTTTCCATTACAAGTTTATTGGCAATTAATTATTAATAATGTGCTGTTTAATCATTTATTGTAGACCCCTAATGTATGTAAAGACTGTCAACTATTCATTTTCTTCCAGCATTTAGATAAAATATATAATTTCTGTACCTGCAATACAGCAAAAGTATTATTTTTTTGCTTCCAGCAAATGTCTTGATAGATTTATTTTGCTTGTAATCATATGCAGGATTTTATGACTTGTTTTCAATTTCCAATTCCACAAACAACCTTGCAAGCTAGAAATTAGGACACTTTATAGATTAGAAGACTACCAAGCTGAAATGAACAGAGATAATGTCATACTGATCTTCTGATTTCTATACATGAAGATTTATTATAATTAATTGTTCAATAAGATCTTTGTTGCTTACTCCTATTTTTATAGCCCTGGATTTTTCTATTGGCACAAAATTAACTATGGTTGTGAACATGTTTGTTCTAGAATTTAGATTATACACTGTTATCTATGAATTTACACTGCATGTATGTATTTATAGTCATTAATGACTAGTTTTAAAATAATCCTGCCATGTCTTTTTATCAAATGTTATGAGAATGTTTAATATTTTTAAAAATTAGAGCTTAGTCACTTTCTAGGCTCTTGGTTTCAATTAAATATTACTTACAAAGTAAATCATTTATAGTTCTTTATGAGTAGAAGCAAGTATTTATGGCCAAGTTCCATTAGTTATTAAATAAATCTAACCAAATCAATTTGTTTATGGACTAGAAATTGATTGGTTTTTCTGATGCCATAACTTTTTATTCATTTTTCTACACTTCCCTACATTACTGAAATATTTTAAAAGAAAACCCTATACTAAATTACAATTTAAATTCATAGCTGCCTTTTAGTACTAGTTTAATAAGGAATACAATAAAATGTTATTAAAGTTTAATAAAAAATACTTTGTTTTTATCTTACAAAATATTAATTATACAATTATACCATTATTCTTTTGTGAATAAAAGTGTTTTGAAAACTACTCAAAGATATTTCTCAGTCTATGCATTTTTATCTTAAAATTTTGTTTTGGTGATGATTTTTCCTTATAATTCAGATAACATTAACAATTTAATAGAAAAAATGTGAACTAAAAAGAGAATAGCATATTCAAAGAAACTTAGAAGTACTTTTTAAATATTAATAACCTTAAGATAAATTATTTCTTTTATATTTTATTAGGTCTTAACTATATGATATTTTAGGTAAATCAAAAAATCAATTCATCAACATTGCCATGTTCCACAGAAGACAGCAATGATTCTGAAATAACTTTAGATTCTTCTTTGCATTGTATCATTTATGAATAAGAATCCATCAGGATAATATATTTTAGTGAGCTTTTTAAATGAATTACATTTATCACGCTTAACAGAAATAGACATAAATTGTCTTTCACATAGTATTCTAAGTTTTTTCCTGGCATTTAATTTTACAATTCTAATTTCTAAATGTTTAAACTATTTCATTCCAGCAGAGTTAAATATTATAGGCAGAAAAAAGATTAATGATGTCCTTACTACTTTGCAAACCATAAAATAACAATTATATTCTAATTAGAAAAAAAGTTATATTACTCATGACTTGTGTGTTTTATATCTTATTGTAAAATTAGGTTTTTCTTTTCTAGAGAATGTTTTTAATAATTTTAGTGGTTTGGCTCTACTATTTGTTTCGTCTTTAATTATAACCTAATGCTCCCTCTCCCCTCCTTCCTAGAATGTTTTACAAGTATGTCTCCCAAAAAAAGAACCAAAAACAAACTAATCTATTTGAAAATATATATCAATAACATTTTTAAGTTTCCAATTATTTCTTATTCCTTCCTATCAATTTGGCTTAAAACACATATTTACAAACACTGGTAGCCTACTTTTCTATAGCCTTTCATTTTTTATGAAGTGTTTTAAAAGACTTCAATCAACCTTAATGGTACAGTTTTAGTTAAGGAAATAGAGTGAGGAGAAGTCAATTTAAGCTCCCAGATGAACAAGTGTCTTCAGAAAGAATAGGCATAAATGGGTTTAGAAACCAGGAGTACAGTAAAATGCAGTGAGCAGAGCACTCAGGGAAGCCAGATACAATGGAAAGAGTAAAATACTGCAGAGCTTTTTAAGCTGCATACAATTGGAACAATGGACTTGATCTAGCCATCTATGTTAAACTGTTAAAAGATAGGTGAAAAGCAAGCTGGAATTCTATATAAAAAGTGTTGAGGGAACAGTAAATGAAAAGCTTTAAATCTAAAAAGAATGAATGCAGTCATTCAATAGGATGGAAATGAAGTCCAAATTGGCATATTTCCCTGGTTAATTTTCTGCGTGAAGGACTGTGTTCTATTTTAGGCATTAAGCCACTATTTGCAACAAAATATCCTAAAACTACCACCACTGGAGTTTTTAAACAACATTATATACATGCACATACATGTTCATTGACAAATGCAAATAAAATTATAGCATACAGGTCACATGTAATTGTAACAAGTTAGTTTTATAGCCTCAACAAAAATTACACTATGTCAAACTTCTTACACTACAAAAAAAGACACAGAGGCACAAGTGTACAATTATAAAAATTTGAAATAGAAAACTAAATTAGATAACGTGTTGCTCATAGATTAGAGAATTATTAAATGGTTTAATTTTTGATTAATAAGTCATTCAGAAAATTTTGGAAAATTTTTTTCTTAAATGTATTGATATATTTTCCTGC